TACGGAGTCAAGGGAGTTCAGTTCCAAGTGAAGCAAATGGACTCGAGGGCTTTTGGCTAAGTCGCCGAGATTGGCCTCTGCCTTTTTGACATCGCGGACGGTTAGGTAGAGGGTTGCACCAGTGGTGTGGAGTGCGCGCGCGGTCTCGACACCTAGTCCAGAGGAGCAGCCGGTGATTAGGATGGTTTTGTCGGAGAGCTTGTCTTCGAGGTTTTGGTCTTTGATGATTTGGAGGGCGGTTGGGCGGGTATCACCGGGTCCTTGAGGGGACTGGTGGGCTGCAGCGTATTTGGAAGACATGATTATGGTGTTGGATTGGGAGTGGATAAGTGGAGTTGATCGTGTATGTTGTTTAGCTGATGATAGATAGGCGGGGGTGAATACTGCGCAGTATTTGTAGGTTCTCCTGCTCGGCGATATGGCAAATTCATCATGGATGACATCAACCAGTGGATCAAAGACTCTCATTAAGTCCGACCAAGTCCCGGATGGGGTATGAGTGTGGGATCATCATAGCCTGCCATACTCGAGGCACCCTGATGACATTCATACTGAACCCCCACCTGTTTGCATAGGGATGTACTGCCGCCTTGTACAATGGCATTAAAGCTTAAAGTGCTTACTGGAATATGGTGCTGACACCGGGCTCATGCAGCAATGTCCGACGTAAATCAGTCCATCCTCTTGCTGACAGGGTTCTCAAACTTTCAAGAGCCTTTGGAGCACCGTCTATGGATGAGTTATTGAACTAGGGGACAAATTGTCATTTAGCCAACCCGTCAAGTGGGTCCAGGGGACATGTCAGCTTGTGCGCGCTCCGATGTGGTTATCCTGGGGACATCGGACATAACGGTGTTAAGGCACGGATCGGACCGTGGTTCATTGTCAGCTCGCTAAGTTATGCCTCAATAATTCAGTATCAATGGAAATGCCTCAGTGCAACTTTAATTGTGCATTTAACTTCAGAAACCGGAATGATGTAACCGTTCATTTCCGAAAGTGTGCCATTAAGGGTGCGCAACGGTCTAGCCGAGATAGGATTATTTCGCCCGGGATGCTTGTAAGAATTGGAGTTGATGCGGGGACACTGATGGCAGACGACTACCCGAGGCTGCCAGTAAGCATTAGCAGCTTGAAAGAAGAGTAGAATATATTCTGTTAGCAATAAATGATAAGTACATACGACCACAGGGTGTGGAAAATAGGGCTTCCCGTCCGCTCAGCCGTACTCAAGCCACACGCCGGGAGGTTAGTAGTTGGGTGGGTGACCACCAGCGAATCCCTTCTGTTGTATGTATTTTTGCTTTTATTCTCTACCTACTTATCATGTGAATTACCCGTACATTCCTATATCTTAATTACTTGCGGGCATCCCCTTTGGAATGATATGGCAATCTTGCTCTGAGCAACACCATTCAGACTGTTTCCGCCGTGGACCCTCGCCGAATAACCAGGCCAACCGCCATCTCTATTTTAGAAAGAAAATAATTTTCTACCTCGCCGGGCTCATGAGATCGTAAATATGAATGTGCATATTTTAGTCCATACTCATTCTGAAAACCAAGTTTGCTATCCCGTCGGACCACGATCGACGCAAATCAGTACCTTAATATCCCGCATCTTCCCCAAAATAGCCTCGGACTGCCCTTGCGGAAAGAACGTTCCGATGAATTCCGTATTGATAGCACCCAGGCTTATGTCTTCAAGGAGTGATAGGGAGAGCCAACGACGTCTTTCTCTTTAAGCGAAAAAGAGCATAGTTCAAAAGGGGTCGCACTCTGCCACTTTTCTTGTCAAATCGACCGGAATCCTCATCAAGTTTTGCCCGAACACATTGCAGTAGACGCTACAGAATAGTGAGAGTGAGAGCTAGCAAATTGCACTCGTCCCATATTGTAAACTTCTGTAGAGATCCGCTCGCCAGCGGGTCTGGGCATGACAGTACTATATCTCTGTGAATCAATATGTCTTGCGGTATCTATTCATATGATTACACGATGTGTACTCGGAATACCGAAACAATTGTCAAATATTTTACGGTGTCAGCAAACTGCAATGCTAAAGATTTAGTAAGATAGCTCTTGAATTGAAAAAATGTATCAATTCCCTCTGATTATCATTATTCCTGCTGCATATCGAAAAGGAAGAAATACAAGTAAACCGCCAAAATTGCCTAGCAAGTCCTTGATTTTACTAATAAGGTTTAACCTTGTCTTACATACTGGTAGCAGCTGAACTTCATCTCTTTCGGTTAGCTAATATAATTTGAAGTGTCACAAGATATATATAGCACCAGAAAAAGTCAAAAAAGTCAAGTCTCTGAAATGTTATCAACTAATCAACACAGATTCTTATATAGGCCAAAAGCTATAGGTTCACTACCGCCATTTATAATGCCATAACAAGAATATAGAGGAACACCGCAGTCTGTCTTATTCTGATTATGAATTATCATAGAGCCCCGATCCAACTGTGTTTCTAGGAAGAGATGCTAGGCACGTGAAAACAATAATATGAATAGCATAACAGTGGTCAAGTCGGATGGCGATGAAGTGAGTAACATGCCGTCGCGAAATCTTTGTCTCTGTCATATCATATCTATCTCTTATAGGCCACTCGATACTGAAAATTTTGAACTGTGATGTATTTATATGATCATAGTACTCCTATTGCTACACATTGGTCCCGGTCTGAAAGTCCTGCCATCAGATCTCTTTGTTTAGAGCAAAGGAGACGTAACTGTAGGAATTGAGAGATATTTACAGTATATGTTGGTAGCTCCCTAGAGAACAGAAACGACGTCAAAAAATGCGAAGCTCTTTCACGTGGATTTCCGATGCCAAGGGGTCTTACTAAATAGCTCGTGCGGAAGTCTAACGGCAGCCTATCAACGATCGGAAGATGCCGACACAGAGCTTCCGAATGACTCACATGTTTTATTGTCTTAGAATACCCGCATATAAACAAGGTTTGATAGAACTATTCTCGGGCGATTGGGGCCTCAAAACAGATCCTTCTCTGCAAATACCAAGCGTCCCTCCGGCTTATTCTGAGCCCTCATCTGGCGTAAAGCCACCCGCCCACGGAAACTATATCATTCCAGAACATTTGTTAGGTGCCCGCACTTGCGAGATGTTATCAGAGTACAACGTTCTCGTCACTGGCTCAGCTGGCCATCTAGGCACGGCTCTAATGCTTTGCCTGCCTTCGATGGGCTACAAACCTCTGGGGATCGACATTCTCTCCTCTTCAGCCACGACAGCCGTGGGGTCAGTCTGCGATCGCACTTTCATTGCATCCATCTTCCGCGAAAACCCCATTAAGCATGTGCTTCATACGGCGACATTGCATAAGCCGCACATATGCAGCCATACCAAGGAGGAATTCATTTCAACCAACATTGCGGGCACTCTGATCCTTCTTGAAGAATCTTCCAAGTTCAAGGACAGAATTGAGAGTTTTGTTTTCTTCAGTACAACCAGCGCCTTTGGTACGGCTCTAAACCCGAAGCCCGGCTTCCCCGCCGCTTGGATCGATGAGTCTGTCGTACCCCAACCAAAGAATATCTATGGCGTAACAAAAGTCGCAGCCGAGGATATGTGCGCGCTGGTACAAAAGGAAAGCGGAATGCCCGTTCTAGTTCTGCGAACAAGTCGCTTTTTTCCAGAGGAAGACGATGATGAAGACCGTCGTACGGCCATGAGTGATGAAAACTTGAAGGTTCTGGAACTAGCCTACCGCAGATGCGACATTGAAGATATTGTCAGTGCATCAATCTGCTCAATGAAAAAGGCCAAGGATATCCGATGGGGAAAGTATATCATAAGCGCTCCACCGCCTTTCAATAATAATGAAAGCACGCTCGATGCGTTAAATCGAAATCCTGCTGAGGTGGTTGCGAAAGGCTTCCCCGAAGTCGACGCTATTTTCAAGCAAAAAGGGTGGAAGCAACTTGCGAGGATCGATCGGGTCTATGATTCCAGCAAGGCTGTGAGAGAGCTAGGGTGGCATCCGAAATATACCTTTGGAAAAACCTTGGAGAGGTTAGCGCGTGGCGAGCAGTGGAGGAGTGATCTGACTGCTAGGGTGGGTAAGAAAGGATATCACGCCGTGAGCACCGGAGTATATACCAAGAGATGATAAGAGTCAAAATACAAGATTTATGCGGTAATTTTGCTAGTGGCTCATGATTTTTCAGAGCACGTAGAAGGTATATGCAGCAAGACTGCTTGATTGAGGGTAGTAGTTCCCGAAGGACGTCAGATAGACAGCGAGCCACTTTATTCACCATGCTTGTGAGGAAATAGCGGACGGGCTGAACCACCCAGGTCCTGCAGACTTGTTCAATAAACAGCTCAAATGACTCTAGATACATGGCATAGACACCGGGCAGCGATATTAGCTGGGGGTTACCACAGAGGCAGAGGCAGGTATCCATGCTTATCAGCACACAAGGCGGCAAAACGCCATGCGACGTCATCGTATGCAAAATATTGACAGCAAGCGTGGATAGCCAAAACCAAACAGACAGACAACTATAAAAAGCTTCATCAGTCACCGGCGAATTCGGCGAAGAGGAAACATAGCTGACATACTATTGGGCGAAAGGCTGATTATCGGATCACCCGGAATCCTTCGAAGGGGGCAGTGCGCAGACTGACAGAAGCAGGACAAAATCTATATACATATTGACTCTCAGATATAGATACAAAGTAAGCTGATCATATGTAAGGCAGTTAGCGCTAAGCTACGATCGGCAATAAAACGCAGAAATAAGCAGTGGCACCGAATGAGGTTATTTCAGGCGTTCCGCTTACCGAGACATTCTTCGTAAGCTTTTGATGGACAAACTTAGGACAAGCTTTCAATGCTTCCATTGTGATTATTATTGGGGTTGTCGAATAGTTTGAAATTGGCTGATCGTGCTCAGATAACGACATGGCTACGCCCAAGTCACTCGTTGGGCTATATAAACCTGCTTGGGATAATGACAATCTAACATGACAGAGCAGCATATTTCGCAAGTACATTACATAGTATATACTTTGGCTGAGAATTAGGCCTAACTCTACTATATGACCTGTACTAATGAAAGCGTAAGAACTATTTCATACGTGTGGTCAAGTCCGTTTGCTGAACAGTGATCGTGCAGAATCAAATTCCAGACATCAGCCCTAATACACCTACTCGGCAATGAGGCTGTGAAATCATACCATCTTCTAAAATCCAACCTCGGGGCAGGAGTTCTTCTATACTTATCCGCCGCTTGCATTCGGCTACTACCACCACCGGATTTCTCAGCGTTCACTGTTGTCGCCAAAATCTTCTGCGTCTCAGTGAGCCACCAATACTGCTGGGACATCGTTAACCAGCTTACCTCGGTTGATGAAGACCGAATCAACAAGCCTAAAAGGCCCATCCCAGCCGGCCGTCTCACTGTAATAGGAGCCAAATGGAGATGGTTTATCAGTTGGACTATATCTCCTGCTATCTGCTACACCCTTCTTGGCGGCGAAGCCTTGGTCATATTTCTCTTGTCTGAAGCCTTGATTTACATATGCTACGTATGGCCTAGACTTGATCACTGGGCATCCCGCAATACCTTCCCAGCCCTTTGGACATTCCTCTCATTCCGCCTTTTGAACAGTGTCGTCTGCAAAACCTACCCACAACTATCAGCACAGCCAAAGGTGGATGTGATTCTCTCGCTATGGGTCCTCGGAACTATTCATATTCAGGAGTTTCATGATATCGATGGCGATCGGAAGATAAAGCGCAGAACACTTCCTGTGCTTTGTTCAAGTGCTTCTTCTATGAAGATGCTGAGGGGCATCACAGCTGGCCTGATTGCTGCTAGCGGGTTGTTTGTGGTCCTGTGGGGATGGATACAGTGCCTTGGGTCTTTCGACTTGCGGAGTTTTGGCCTGGTGATTACGGGAATATTCCATCTTCTCGGTGCGTTGGCGGTTGGTGTTCGTTGTGTTTTTGCGACGTCGGTGGGTATGGATGAGAGAACGTATAAAGTGTATTATATCTTGACAGCGTACTGGCTTGTGTACTTCTTATCGCTGGTCAATAAGTAAACCACCATGAGTGGAGTGGCAGGAAACATGTGATGAAAGAAGGGAAACAGCCGATATAGGTAGAAGATATGTAGTAGTGTCCGGACTGATTTGCTTTTGCAATAAACCAGCATTTGCCCCCTTATTGATGATGATCTGAAGGCTACTAATTGCGATATCCAGAATGAGAGGGTGGAAGGGTAAATGAAGGGCCATAGTATAGATGAGGATCATAAGCTGATTCAAGGCATTGACATGGATATGGTTTTGACCATTCAAGAGACGTTTCACCTCCCATGTCACCCCATTGTATGGGGATAGGATGAGCAGTTAGTTCCGGTAGATCCTTCCCGCCAGTCTCAATGCACTTATCGATATTTGCAGAACATGGCCTCCAAGTATTGAGTTAAGGCCAGGGGACATACGTAGGTGGATGACCGCCAGTCCTGCCCTACCCAACCATGCTGTTAGTCAGGAGTGATAATGCGGGTAAAAAGCACTCTCTTGGAGACTCTACACCTTCCTACATCCGCTTCTAATAAAAATCCTGTCTGTTCTGACCCTCATCATTTAGTCTCAAAAATCATCGAATACTGCTAAGTGGCTTCTCCTTCCCCGCACTGTAGCTTTCTAGCGACGGGTAGAACAAACTGGCCTCTCTGGGAGAAACAGCAACTAGACTAGCGGGTTGACTGCCGGCCATGTAGCCGAGGATATAGAGTTGCGCTACTGCCCCCCGCATGCGGATCCCAACCTTTATCAGTGGCCACGACTCCCGAGTGCACTGATATCGTATCCATGCGCCATCCAATCGTCGGCCTTTTCCGCTTATCGAACCCCTCTCCGTCGGCTTTGCGCTGATAACTCCTTCGACCTACTCCTCTCCGTCGCTTCTGTTCTCTCCTCCAAGATGCTTCGGTATCATGGCTGCTCCTGGTCGCGTATGCGCTCGGTGCGCAGTGATTGTAAGTCTTGACCTCTCCTTCGAGAATTGATCACCATGCTGACTTCGGATAGAAACAACGCTGTGATGGCGCATCGCCCTGCTCTCGTTGCGCACGTATGCTTGCACTTCTAGTTTCCTGGGTGCCAATATATGCTGACCAACTAGGTCTGGGCCACATCTGCGAGCCTCAAAAGCCCGGAAGACCTGCCTCTGAAGTCCCGTCGCTAGCTTATCGCCGACCTAGGGCTTCCCGATCGCGCGGTGGATGTACCTCATGCAAGGCGCGGTAAAGGACACCCATGAGATCCTCGATAATCACTACATTGCACTAGCTGACAACCAATAGCAAGAAGAAGTGTGATGAAAGCCGACCTCGATGTAGCGACTGTCGTCGTTTAAACTTACCATGCCACTGGAATAATCCGAGGGAGAAGTCTTCGTCACCAGCCCTCGCCTCTCCGCAGCCGTCGCCTACGTCTTCCTCTTCCGAAATTGCTCACGAACCCATCCTATCTTCCGTTTCGGATCCAGTCTCAAAGATCGGTCCGATTTCTCCTTCAGAGAATCTGTTATCATCCGTCAGCGATGATCTGCTATCTCCATTCTCGCCCCTCTGGATTGATGTGGAGATGATCCTCGGACCCATTCAGTCTCCAGATGGCACATTTAATCCCCATCTCCACAATGACGACGATCGTAGTCTATTCAATCACTATGTACATATCGTGTCACGAGCACTATCACGTTCCACAACTACTGACTCCATGACCAACCCATTTCTAGCAACTCTGCTACCCATGGCCGCCGCATCGGAGACGCTAACTAGCGTCATACTGGGCCTTAGCGGCTGCCACTGGCGGCGCATCTATCCCCAAATTTGGGACCGTGCCCTAGCGCGTCAAGGAAAAGGTACATACTCGACAAAATTCCATAAAATCACAAAAGTCCTAACCATAACAGCCTTAGCACAAGTGAGCAACTTACTCCGTCGACCGAACCAAAACAGCCAATCATTCCTCGAGGCCTGTGCCACCATTCTCCTGCTCTGTCTCACAGAGCTATTCGAAGGCACCTCTCGCGTCTGGAAATGGCATCTCAAAGCGGCAGGGAACCTTCTTAGCACTGCAGCAGCTGCCACCGATCTGCACCGCCTGTCATCAACCCCAGAAGGAAACTTCTGTCTCCAACTCTTCCACTACCTCGACGCCATGTCCACCATATCCCGCTGCAAACCGCCATTATTACGCGCAGGCGAGCGACTCACCGATCTCACCTCATCAACATCCTCGTCTTCCCTCCCAGTACCCCTCGGAGATAACTCCGTCTCCGGAATTCCCCCACCCCTACTAGAATACCTCGGCCGGGTCAACCTCCTCGCCGCCCACCGCAGCCGACGCGTCGACGACCTCTCCGAGATCGGATTCCGAACAGCCGCTGCGCACGTACGCGCACAGCTCGATACCTGGCGAGTGGATTACGATGCGACCAGCACTGCTCTGGTAAACAGCGACGCGAACAGAGCAACAACAGCCTTCGAATGGGCGATTCGATTACGACTACATCAGATCGTAGACGGCTATGATCCAAACCATGCAGACGTGGAGAATGCTCTCTCTCACATTATGACAGCTGTGCTGGCAATCCCTTATGGTAGTCCTGTGGAGGGTAGTCTGCTGTTTCCGTTGGTGATTGCTGGCGCTAGTTGTAGGGATAGCATGGAGCGGAGGATGGTTGTTAAGGAGCGGTTGATAGTGATGGAGAACACGTTGGGGTTTGGACATATCTCGCATGCGAGACGGTTACTGGAGACAGTGTGGGCTGATGAGGGCGGGGATGGGAATTGGGCGAGAATAAGGTATAGTTCGTTTCCTGGGGTGGTGTTTGTTTAGTAGTCGGTTAGTGTGTAGTATTTCTGTGGCGTAGCGTTGCGTGTACATAGTCGCTGAAGTTTGCATTACTGAATAGTGATGTAAGTCCACTGTTGTTGATTGGTTCTTGTTGTTTTGGTGGTAGCTCTAGGATTCACCAGTGTTGCCTATCATGCAGTTCTTCTTGGCAGAAAGTAGTCGTGAAAAAATGGCAAAGGTCCATTCTCTGCCGTAGTATTCAATGATAAACATGAAAGTAACGATTCATCATCAGCTTGCACATTAAGCATCAAACCCTTCGGCCCAAATTCTTGATATCAAGTCAATCATAACATTTTTCACTCCAACGGAAGCTACCCCCGTTAATGAACCAACCTAATACAAAGGCGGCATATCATCCCACTCCCTGCGTCCATTCATCGACTCCTGCCGCTTGTAACTCGCAAACCACTTTTCAAATGCCTGTCGGTTATGCAACCTCGTCGGAGCCTTCCCCTCACCAAAGTAATCCAGGATCATATCACAATACATCCAAATAGCTTTGTAATGCCCAGGGTGAGATCTTTCTTATCCTTACGCGCCACAATCACAGTTCCGCCCAAAACATTTGCTTAACACCCTTTCCACAACGTACCATGAATATCACATTCAATAAATCTGTTGCTTTGGTGGTCGAGAGGCATAGATTTGTCGTATAGATTTGCGAATTCCTGCTCCGCGCTCGACTGAGCATTCGTCTGACCAGATAATTCGTAGAAAGACTTCAGCAGCGTATTCGGCAAATTTTTGAGCCCATCTCAATCTCTTTTCTGCATGTTGAGAAGTGATTTCTGGCCGCTCACATTATTTCCCTGCATGTGTAGAGGTATGTAATAGACGTTGAACTGTTCTGATTGAAGGACTGCTCTGTACAGCAGTAGAGAGTTCACGCAGTTTTACATGCTGATCTTGCTTAACTAAGTCCAATAACTGCTGCTGTTCCTCAGGAGTAATCTTTTTGGGTCGTCCGGAGCGAGGTGCAGAGTGTTGCTGCTTTCGAGTACTCTCGCGCTTGATTGTAGTCTGTATAGTTGAATAAGGGATATGAGGATAGCGTTTATGGATCATAGTAAAGCTCCAACCAATTGCTTTTAGCTCACAGAGTCTAGCACGGATCTCTGGGGTCAGTTCTTTGCGTGGTGGCATCTTTGTGTGGCTTGCTTGCTTCAAGATTCAGGGCTCTGTACGTGTTGTTGTGGTTGACAGAAGCTGTATTCTAACCTAGTTAGGAAGGCGGAAGTGAAAACAGTTAGTGTAGAATGTGGGGCAACGCAAACTTACTGACATCCAACTGTAGGCCTCCACAGGTACCTGCGTGGATTAATGGTCATTTATGTTTGTTGGTAATTGTTCCCAATAGATAAATAGAGTGGAAGTCTGGTCTCGTAACACAATATAGACATCGCATAGGAGCTTTAATGATACTATGCCCTGCGCTAGATTTATGACTGAGATACGTGATTTCGCGTCAGTATATTTCCACGAAAACCTTCTGCCAGAGATTCTATACTTCGTATAGCAGCATAAACAGCATGATCTTGCGGATCAACTCCTCATAAGAAACTACTTATATACACACAGCCACCTAAACACCAGATCTACTATCTATTGGGCCTTCAACTCTTCCAAATGCGTTCGCATATTATACCCACACACCTCCTCGATAGTCAACTTCCCAGGCCGATCCGTCGACGAGCTCCATCCAATGCGCTCGCTGAGGTCTTCACGCGCGCGAAAACTCGCCTCTTGGACTTTCGTGGCTCGTGGTTTCCGCAGCCGCTCGTACAGCTGTAGACCCTCTGCGACACTATACTCTTCCCGGAACGCGCGGTGGAAAATTAATCCCAACGCGCCGGCGTCCTCAAAGGCCATACACGAACCCTGCGACTGATCGGGCATCATGGGGTGGGCGGCATCACCAAGAAGGCATACTTTGCCTTTGGCCCAGTAGGGGTATGGTTGGTGACGGTACACTATCTATCATCAGCAGAGTGAATCAAACTCAGGGTAAGGGATCATACAGCGCCACATCTTAATATCCTCCGCATTCATCATCAACAGCTTCATGCGTTCATCTAGTCCCGGGAAAGTATCGACCAGCTGCTCCGGAGTAGCCGCGATATTCCAGCCATCGCCACGCAAATTGTTGTACTCTGCCGGATAGAAGCAGTAACAGCTTACGACTTCGCCGTTACTGCAAGGTGACATGACAATTTTGTTGATTCCGAATCCACCCCAGTATTCGATCGCCTCGTTATCAATATAGTCGTCTAGCCCGAGGCTGCGGAGTTTATCGGCGCTGATAATGCAGCGATAGCAGCATGAGGTCGACATGGTGAATTCGGGGGTGATCCCCATTTCAAGTCGGCTTTGGGACTGTATTTTGTTCATGTTAATATCATACTATGGATTATTGGATATCTAGGAACGGGGATAGGGATAGTTACACGAATGCCATCCGCAGCGACGATAAGGTCTGCCGACGCCGTCTCGCCATTCTCGAACACAATGCGACCGGCCTCTGCGTCTAGCGATACGGCCTTGTGATTGACCTTCAGTGTGCAAGGGGTGCCTTCTCCTGGCTCGTCAATAGCAGACTTGAGTAGTTGTTGGTGGATGTCAATGCGGTGGAAGTTGTTGTATTCCTGAGAATCGGCCACGTCAATGACAGATCGGAGAGTGAAGAATGAATCCCAGACTGACCGTTCCAAACTTGGCTTTGTAGTCCCCCAAACCATATTCATTCTGTATCGTCCCAGTCTCCCAATCATGCATAATAAGTTTCTTCAAGACCACCGGTTTCGCGGCCTTGACATCGACACCCCATTGCTCTAGGAACCGGGATCCATTGGAAGCTGCGCTCAAGGAAGCGCCCACTTCGCCAGCAAAATCGTATCTCTCGTAGACGGTGATTCGATGGCCTTGGCGACGTAAAGCCACAGCTGCGCTCAGGCCGCCTAGACCGGCGCCGATGATGGCAATGTCGAGGGGAGAGTCGGTGCGCGAGGGCATTCTGTACGGTTTGACGAATTGACAATTAATATGATTTTGGCTTTCTCTGCATTCCAGCTTCATGTTCGAATATTTGTTTATATACCTATCCGGCGCCTTCCTATGGTCTATGTTGTTCGGACACACATCCGATCCACTTATCGTGCATCCGACGGGGCTCGTATCTATGCGACGGGTGCAGCAGTAGTGCAGCTTATCGCACCGATCGCCCCAGCCAGTGATAGGAGACATTGTAGCCCTCACTGTGTACAGGAACAACTTCTTTAAGACAGCCCATCATGCCATTCCGCCGCTTCTCGACGGCCTTCTGATGGAACATGCCATCCCTGCTGCACATACACCATGTCTGATACCAAAGAGGAAAAGCTGGCCACTATCGACTATGGCCTTGGCGATCTGCACGATGATTCGGCACTATTGCGTCGGATCGATTGGCGCATACTGCCGATTATGTTCTTAACATACTTTTTGCAGTTTCTGGATAAGGTGGCCTTGAATGTAGGTCCCGATTTTCATCTAATGATTTGCACAGATGCCGATGCTGACGGTGACAGTACGCTAATGTCATGGGCATGCAAGACGATCTCGGGATGAAGGGCAATGACTTCTCCTGGCTTGCTACGGGGTTCTTCATTGCTTATGCCGTTGCTGAAATTCCTCAGGGTATGTTGCATTCATTCGTCCGCCATGCTCATATCACTGATCATTGAAAGGGTTCTTACTCCAACGATACCCCGTCACCAAAGTCCTCGGATTCAATATCCTCTGCTGGGGAGTGCTCCTCTGCTGCTCTGCCGCAGCCCAGAATTTTGCAGGCATGATGTCTCTACGAGTGCTTCTTGGCACACTAGAAGCTGTGATCGGTGCGATCAACACTATCTATCTTCTATGCCCAGTGCTAATACTACACACAAAGCCCCCGCCCTAACCATGTACACAAGCATGTGGTACACCCGGGCCGAATCCACCCCTCGCTATGGCCTCTGGTACTGCGGACTCGGCACCGGGCAGATCATCGGCGGATTAATATCCTTCGCAGCGCAGCATGCACCGGCGTCGATGTCATTCCACGGCTGGCGGATCATGTTTGTAGTGATCGGAGCAGTAAACGTCCTCGTAGCGCTTCTCGTCCTGCTCATTCTACCCGCCACACTATCTGAAGCGCGTTTCCTGAGCACATCCGAAAAGGCTCGCGTGGAGGAGCGCCTCCGACAAGACCAGGCTGGTGTGGGCGAGAAAGTATTCCGCGCGATCTCGCTGCTCGAGGCATTTGCAGATCTTCAGACTGCGCTTTTGGTGCTTCTGACTATTCTCATCACTATACCCAGTGGAGTTATCACGACGTTCTCATCCATTCTGATCAAGGACTTTGGATATGACTCGAAAGAAAGTGCGCTGCTTAATATGCCTTCTGGGGTGGTTAGCATCGTTGCTACTATGGCGTCCACGATGGCCATCGCGCGGGGATATTCGCGCTGGTTGGCGATCAATGTTCTCCTGATCCCTACTTTGCTTGGGGCGTGTCTGATGTCTTTTCTGCCGTCGTCAAATCAGGGGGGTTGTTTGGCGGGAATATACCTCGTGAACACGGTAGGTTGCTCCCGTTGTAAAAGCAATGGGTATGCGCTGACTGGAATAGACTGTCGCACCGCTAGCATTGATTTTCGCGTGGACTGGTGCGAACTACAAGGGGTATACCATGAAGGTAAAAGGACCATACTAATCCTAAAATCAATGCAAGCAGCAGCTAACATGAACTGCCACATAGGTAGCAGGAAGTACGCTCGTCTCGGCCGGGTTCAGCATCGCCAACATCATCGGGCCGCAGACGTTTCAATCCCGCGATGCTCCAGGGTATGCATGTCACTCTACTGCCATGTTGATTATCCTTACTCATATGAACAGGTACATCCCCGCCAAGATCACGATTGTCGCCGTCAACGCCGGCGCAATCATCATCTCCACCATGCTGCGGGTGGTCTACGGCCGTCGGAACGCGCGGGCTAACCGATTAGGCCGGGCAGCGGGGAGTCGCATGGAGGGACGGCTGCAGAGTGAGGGCCATGATGAGGGGGTAGTCGATTTTCGATATGTGTACTAGTTTGTAGTTCTAAGCCGCTCAGTCTAATCTATGCGACGGCTCCACTCGTGTAGAAATCTCGATATACCACACAATGTATATAAACCACCGTGATCCATATCTACTACACCCAACCCTATCCATATCCTCTACAGCTATTCACACTAATACTACCATCACCAAAATGCTAACTCTCATAACCGGCGCCAACGGCTTCATAGCAACCCATTGCATCGCCACACTCCTCCGCGCAGGCCACTCCATCCGAGGCACCGTGCGCAGCGCCGAAAAGGCCACAGCGACACTTTCCGCCCTCCACGCCGCAGGAGTCCCCCACCTTGAGACATCCCTGGACCTTGTGGTCGTTCCCGACCCCACAGACCTAGCGCAGTTTCTCCCCGCAGCGGCAGGCTGCGACGCTATCTTGCACCTCGCGTCGGCATTCACCTATGATGCGGAGCCGGGGCAGTTCGAGGAGCAGTTGCTTCGTCCGGCAATACAGGGGACGAGTGCTGCGTGTGAGGCTGCGCATCAGTGTGAGAGTGTGAAGAAGTTGGTGATAATGTCGTCGTTTGCGGCGGTTTATGATGCGGCGTTGGGATTGCAGCCTGGGAAGGTTTATACGGAGGAGGATTGGAGTCCGTTGGGTTTTGAGGAGGGGAAGGATACTGATAATGTGGTGAGTTTCTGTTTTATGTGTCGATGGTGGTTGTTGGTTGCTGACACGGGGGTTAATGTAGGCTGTGGCGTACCGCGCGTCCAAGGTCCTCGCGGAGCGCACTGCGTGGACATACATCAAGGAGAATGAGGTGGACTTTCAGCTTGTCACACTTTGTCCTGGGATGGTGTTCGGGAAGATGATACATCCGATTCCGTCGCTGGAGTATCTGAACGCCAGTAATAGGATTGTGTGGGACGTGGCGAAGGGCGGGAGTGAAATCCCGCCGACAAAGGCACCTGGTAAGTAACTACTCCACATAAGCAACGTAGTAGGTCACCTAACTAACAAATTATTACTAGTCTGGGTGGATGTGCAAGATCTAGCAGAGACATGCCTGCGCGCGTTGACGGTCGATCTCCCCTCCCATCAGCGGTTTCTGGTCACGGAGGGCCCGTATGATACGCAGGAGATTGCAGATGTGGTGAGAGAGGATATTCCTGCTGCTTCAGAACGGGTTGCAGTTGGGAGTCCGGGGGCGAGAATAAGGGATATGCATTATTCGTGCGATTCAGGAAAGGTAAAGGGAATGCTGGGAGTGAGGTTTCGGGGGTTGAGGGAATCGATTGTTCCTTTGGTGGAGCAGTTGTATGCTATGGAGGAGGGGGAGAGGAAAAATGGTTTGTCCGCTGCGGTACTCTAGTAGTAGTACTTCCATATATATAGTGTATATTTATATATATATATATATATATATATTGATCTTCAACTTTATAGAATTATATGAGGGAATACGGACCTGCTTTACCTCCATAAGTTTTTAACGAGCGAAGGCCCCTCATCCTCGCGGGATAAATTCTACTACTATGCATAGAGTTGGTTGACTTTGCCATACCTACGAGCAATATGTGTGAGCCTTCTTCATGCTACGTTTTGAGTTCATACGTACTTGATTGGGCTTCACTAGTCACGGTTGAATAAGCATGATTGAATTCGTAACTTCTAGAAGATATGATTAGGCTTGAGTCGTAGGGCATAGCACAAAGTAATAGTATCTTCTAAGACTACGGTAGTGATTGTATATAGGACCATCGTGTAAACAATTGAACTTGGGTATTGATAGTACATCAACTTCGCTTTTCTAATTCATTTCTAGTGCGCGTTGCTGAGACAGGCAGTTAAGGTGCTCCGCTGTCCGCTTCCATCAGCGCAAAACAGCCATTTGCTAAGTCTCCTTAGGAATCGGTAGTAGATTGTGCTGCGATATTGATTGGTTTGTTCGTATTGTCGTGGAATGCGAGGTGATGGCTCAGCGGTTGGCTCGGCATCAGACGCAGATGACTGCTGCGCAGGATCCCAGTTGTAAACACACGGCTCAGATTCAGTTTCTGAATGTTCTGGTTCCGATGGATAGTCGTCCTCGAAGGGATACTCTGACCCTAGGGGGTATTTGGTAGGGTCTAAGGCTTGGGGTTTGTTCATCGTCTGCTGATTCAAAGTGCCCAGCGGGCTTCTGCGGGTGGCCTGTATGCCCGCAGTTTGCTGTGGAGGGGTAACAGGGGGATTTTTAGAATCGACAGGCAAGGGCGTGCTGACAGGTAGGTTGGCATTAGCAGCCTTGCCGCAGTTGCACTTCTTTCGTTTTCTTGGTCTTTCTGTGCTAGTGTTGCAATTTGCGTTAATAGGCACGTTTGAGTCAGGCGGCAGGGTTCGCTCTTTTGGTTTCGGCGTAGCCTGCTCTCCGGCTGAGGGCACTGTAGTTGGTTTTACGGCCGGCTTTGGTAAGGGCTGGCCCTGTGCTTCTGTAAGAACTTGATCCTATCGTGGGCAAGCCCCAGCGCTCTGCAGGACGTATCTTGGGAAGCGTGTGGACCTTGACAATTGGCGCAAATGAGGTTGGCTGTGTTCCGACACATTACAGGTTTGTGACTGTCCCCACAATAAGGACAACGTCTGGAAGAGTTGCAGTTGCGCCGGGAGTGCCCAAACATCTGACAATTGGGGCACTGAAAAAGACGGTAATGCTCATCAAACTTTTGCGTTCTAAATGGAATACAATTTAGATATAGGGTGCCTTCCTTTAAGAAGGCACTTGCATGTTCCGGTCGGTCAAAACTGACGATCAACGAACTTTTGAGAGGTAGTGGCAGAGTGTTGCCGGTCAACCAATCCACGCAGGAAAGGTAAGCATTCGGCACTCGTGGATTCTGAAGCATACTCTGTCGAGCAGCCATTCCACTGCTCAGGGCCTGGCTGGTGAAGCAATCTGCCGGGACGTCGTGGACCAAAATGGACCAGGATTTCCTGAGAATGCGGGCGTATCGCCCCTGTCTGAGGTGAGATATCCACTCGTTGCTGTACGCTACCAGGGCATCAGTATCCTTGCGGCTTGACGTACGTATTTCAAGGTCGCCTAATGGAAGTACTTGGGTTGAACAGATCCGCACATGTCGCTGCGCTTGTAGGACCGCATGTTGCACTTCGTGTTGCGGTATCGGAGTTGGGACATCTTTTTAAGGGTGAGAGTCCGAAAGTAAACAGGTACAATGCTTTGTGCAGGTTGGGACTGCTATGCCATATATGTATTAAACTGTCAGCCGGCTTTCCAACGAGTAGTCTCGGTGGCGCAATTGGTAAGCTTACCCTTCATCAAATTCATCCACACTATCAGTTACTAATTCAATATAAAGGTTAGCGCGTACGACTGTTAATCGTGAGGTTGAGAGTTCGATCCTCTCCCGGGACGCATCTTTTTTGTTTTCGATTTTGGTTCCCGCTTCTTCTTCACCGCATCACACGTTCGGGGTTATTCCGTCGTATTATGCTTTTAGGTTGCTAATATTGGGGCCGTGGCGTGCAATAGCTTGTCAGAGCCGTTACTGGTGGGCTAGGTGAAACCTTTTTGGCTACAAAGGTCCGAAATTACACCATTCCAACTGTTGTTTGTTGGGTTGGGCACTCCCGAGTCAGCCACAACCGCCCCAGTCCAATCGCTTTATTGTCCGTCAAGGTTGGCAGTTCGTGTTGAAGTGGATGAAACAACCTGATGAGCCTAATTTATGGTGGAAGGTCAGATTCGAAGGAGGATCACTCCTGGTCCCATTCCGTGAGAATAAAACACCCTTGATAGTTAGTGCTCAGTGGCCCACAAAAGATACTTCGGATCCTCATCCAACGCATGGGGAAATTGCAGGAGCCATCCATATCCATTCTGAACCGAACAAACTATCCTGCTCATGACCGAGCCACTATTCTGTAGTCCTAGTAATTAACGTCTCGGTCATGAACCACCTGCCTCGAGTCTTTCTGGAATTCCGGAGCAGAACATGTTCCTGACCTGAGCAGACCACGTGTCCAGAACACCAGCCCCTGCAAAGTCTCATCTCAAGATCACTTTCCCTGAGCTCAATGGCCCCCACTGTTTCCTTATCACAGCATACAGGGCGGGTGCAATGGTCAAGTCTCAAGAGATCCTCGACATCCTTTGAACAGATGGTCCGGCGAAATTGGGAAAGCCTTACGCCCCGACGGTCAAGCGCGTAAATCCGGGCGTTTATGGTTGACGGCAAGGGGTCAGTCATTCAGCAGCCGAACTCTATCTCCATCACCACCGCTGCAACTCTCACCTCATCCCTTCGCTGTCTTCACATGTCAGAAGGAAGCTCATCGGAGACCGTCGTCCATCCGACCAGCCGATAAGGCTGCAGTTCTATGCTAGATAACATGCAACAACGCAGTCGATGTCCTCATGCTATCTAGTTCTTGCAGTCGCAGGATCCACGCCCCTGTACAATTATGCATCAAACTAACCTTGTCACCTGTCTGACTACCGAGCTCCTGCAGGCACGCTAGCCTGGTCATCCGAAATCACACCCACTTCTTCACCCGAACTAAGCTTTTAACCTCCTATTTACGGCCCCTTCTCTGGTTAAACCTAGTTTCATTTGTACCCCTATTTTGATTGGCGGAAGCAGACGGATCAATATATGGCCCCCGCTTGTTAAGCCCAACTCAGCCAGGCGCAGGTGGGGTTGAATACAGAGTAGCGGTAGGGGCTTTCTAGAAACATTGCGGGTCGTGGACTTTTTACGTCCAGTTTTGTCCGGCACACGCGGCCGAGCGCATGGCGGCACTCTGCAAATGTCTGTTCTCTCCCTGCGTGACTGAGAGCCAGAGGGCCATTGGTTCCTTAGCCCCTTGCAGCCTGACATGCCAGCACGGATTCCTCACGACCATGGCACGCCCCGGGCCAGACATGCCTGTTGATTGGCGGTTTATAGAGCACATGGGGGCTAAATCCTGGCTTTTCCTTTCGCAGCGCCAGGAGCGTTAGTCACAATTGCTTTTGTTTGCGACTCTCCTATCACAAGTCGGTGTACCGAGTCTACTTCATTTCGAATACCCTCTCTGAGACGTTGGTGACAACGATGGGCCGTTGAAAGCCGTCGGATCCCCAGTTCATCTGATCTATAAAGGGGGCCACGCCACCGTAGGTAAATCTTTAGAAAGTCGCAGATCTTTCTCAAGAGTATCCAGCGCTGTACTACCTTGCTCTCAAGATGTTCTTCCGCAGGGAATTTGGGGCTGCCGCAGCCCTATCTGTTCTGGCCTATGCTGCTCCCGCACCTGCTCCGATGCAGCGTAGAGGTAACACTCTCCAATACATCTTGTGAACCGTGAACCCACTAACCTTGCTCAGACATCTCCTCTACCGTCTTGGACAACATCGACCTCTTCGCCCAATACAGTGCAGCAGCTTACTGCTCCTCAAACATCGAGTCCACCGGCACGACTCTGAGCTGCGATGTAGGCAACTGCCCTCTCGTCGAGGCAGCCGGTGCCACGACTATAGATGAGTTTGACGAGTAAGCCAAGCCATCTCAACGTCTTCTCCTACTTGTCAGCAGCTCACACCCCCCTAGCAGCAGCAGCTACGGCGACCCGACTGGGTTCATCGCCGTTGACCCGACAAACGAATTAATCGTTCTGGCTCTCCGGGGTAGTTCAGACATCTCGAACTGGATTGCCGACTTGGACTTCGGCCTCACCTCTGTAAGCGACATCTGTGATGGCTGTGAAATGCACAAGGGCTTCTACGAGGCCTGGGAAGTCATCGCCGACACCATCACATCCAAGGTGGAGGCTGCTGTCTCCAGCTATCCGGACTACTCCATCGTGTTCACCGGACACAGCTACGGCGCTGCATTGGCGGCCATTGCGGCCACTGTGCTCCGCAACGCCGGATACACTCTTGACCTGGTAGCCTACCCCCACAACACTCTATCCATCTTCCGTGCCCTTATCCTTCAGAATAATTAACTAACACGATGGGCAGTACAACTTCGGCCAACCCCGTATCGGCAACCTGGCCTTAGCCGACTACATCACCGACCAAAACATGGGCAGCAACTACCGCGTCACGCACACCGACGACATCGTGCCCAAGCTTCCTCCCAAGCTGCTGGGCTACCACCACTTCAGCCCGGAGTACTGGATCACCAGCGGCAACGATGTGACGGTGACTACGTCGGACGTGACCGAAGTTGTGGGGGTGGATTCGACGGACGGGAATGACGGCACCCTGCTTGACAGTACGACTGCTCATAGATGGTATACGATTTACATTAGTGAATGCTCGTAGAGCATTACTGGTGCAGTGCAGTGGTAATGTGGACTGGATATAGTTAAGACGGAATGAATTTGTACATAGTATTTAATAGTAACCGGCGAAGTACATATGCTAGTCTGATCGTGAAGCTGTCCGTGAGGCATTTTCTGACGTGTTTCGACCTCGAAGAATGTAGACTAATGAGGGTGAGAGCAGCAGTAGCACCGAAGAATCCCCGACCCGTCCATCCATCCCACTCCAACTTCTTTCAGTTTGAACTGATTAGATTAACTTTCCTTCTCCCCCACTGATAATCCCAAGAACGTTTTCTACTGACCGGGACAGTCTCTGCACGGCTCATTCCACCATCTTGTGGCGTAATAGAATTACATAAAACTCACCACCACGGGAAAAGCACGTCCATGTCAACCACGAATCAACTCATCTACTTGAATCACACGGGATATATAGATAACTCTCTACGGCAGTATATTAAACAATTTCACTATCAGGAGCTTGGCCAACCTTAGCCCGATTTAAAGCGGAGCAGTTACTAGTTATCAAGTTGATTAGATTATTAGCGTAACGGTCGCCAAGGTCGTAAAAAACATAGGGTAGTCTACCAACACCCCAAGGAAAATAGTTTCCCCACCACCAGCACCTTTTCTGACGTGACTCTACTATATATTCTATGCATCACTAGTTCTCGGGGCATACTATCTCCGCTTACTGTACTTCACATGTGAAAGAGGGGTGTTTGCGACCGGGGAAACTAATTGGGGAATCAATGTCCGGGATATCCGACGGGGATCTGCGCTCTGCTTGCTCTGTTTTGGGTTGGGGCAGGGAGATATGAGAGGGTGGAGGTGAGTTCATTCATGGCTTCACATGTTTCTGACATTATCCCGGGTTGCTCGTTGATAAGGCAATATGCAGAATGCTAATTAGTATGGGTATCAAGCTATGAAGGTATGCGTGATGGGATAGTGATTAATCCTGCCCTAACTAAAAGAGCAGCTGCTCCGAGCTTTGCTCGCTCCACCGAAAGCTACTATTGCTTAGTTGGTTAGTGAGTGGATTTGTCTGATAAGGTAGAGAAGTCCTAGTGGACTAGTACTACTATGCTTGATGAACGGTTTGTGCTGTCTCATTCTGATCATATTCTGTGTCTATCAGCAAACATGTTTTGGACTTGTAAAAGGGACACCTTCGATATAGCACAGTGCTAGGTCCAGATGATCTTTGTCATTGGTGGTGCACATGGGGTTAGAATAGCTTCATCTCTTCTCTCACTATGGTATACTAAAGTAGCCCCCCGGTTAAAGAAGGTGCGGAAAGGTGAAGGATACCATTCAATGCAAACTTGGTTGATGGGTAGTATTGGGTATCCAGTTGTGATTCTTCCCTTCACCTAGGTAGGACAGCTTCTGAGACATATCATTGTGTTGTAGTAGCACTAATGTCAAAACTCAGCCTGAACAGTTCACTATCATGTCCAGCCATGATTCCACAAGGGGAGTTACATTGTGATCTCTAACTCTCGACTCAATCGCCAATATTTCACCCTAACAGCTAACCTCAGCACATGTCGTAATACCACATCTACTCATCCAAACACTCATACTCATCCAACTCCAAATCATCCGTCACCAGCTCATCCGCCAAACTCAACTTCCCACACACAACCCCCCTCAGGAACGCCTTAGCAACGACATTCGCCCCGGCCGCACTGGTATGCGTATGATCGATCGGAAAATACGCATCCACGGTATCCGCCCCCAACGCCTCATATACCTGATCCGTGTAATCAAAATGATTCACGTACGACGTGTCCGCCGTATCTGCGGCGATTTCCGCGTACCCGACGAACCGTGGCGGGTCATTCACGAAAGTGCCCGTTTCCCACGGGTTATTGGGCGTCTGCGAGGAGATGATGACGGTTGCACCGATCTTTTTAAACGTGTTGGAGGCGTTCTCAATGTACGCGGGGAAGGTGAGGATGGTTTCGTTGACGCCATCGTATTCCGAGTAGCATACTTCGGAGCCTGTGCCGGAACAGTCGGTGCGGCCGTTGTCGCTGGTTGAGAGCGAGCCACCGTCGTTGTGGCCGAATTCGATGATCACATAGTCGCCCGCTTCAAGAGTGCTGGCGATGTCGTCGAAGCGGCCTTCGCGCGTGTAAGACCGGGCGCTGCGCCCGGCTACGGCTTGGTTGGAGACGGTGATGCCGCTTGAGTTGCTCAGGTATTGGGCGACGTAATCACCCCAGCCTGATTGATGATTAGTTGAAGAAAGCAGTGATGGGTAGGAGGGAGCTACCGGCTGTGTCGGAGCCACCACCACCGCTGGCCATGGTGGAGTCCCCCGCCAGGTAGATGGTTGTGGCGAGGGAGGCTGGAAGAAAAGTCAAGATGGGGAGGCTGGAGACCTTCATTGTGGTTGGATATCACATAAACTAAGGTGGGCGATTGAGTTCGTCTGAAGATCACAGAGCTTGCAGAGTAGGGTTGATATGAAGCGCCAGCGCTTGACGAGCGCATCCATCCATACGTGGAAAAAAGGGTAACATCGGGCTTTGATGCACCGAGACTTGTCCGAGTCATCCCGTCTGCAGCAGCCATGGAAACGGAGCTGAAGTGGTATGTCCGTGATCTGCAGGGACGAGATCGACATGAATTGAGTGATTGATTTAACTGCAGGATGCGGAGTGAGTGAGGGGAACTGGTCAGCTGGATCCCCGCATTTGACACGCAGCAAAACCCGTCACAAATTGTCCACACATATTGCTGCATCTGCGATTCCATAGGAAAATTTCCTGTTCGGAGAAATTGTCAGGGCGCAAAGTGAATAGGCCGCTGGGCAACTGCTCTCGCAAGAGGGGCTCTATGTAGGTTGACATCATGCGCTGGCAAAGCCATGGGGAAAATTCAGCGAAGAGAGGAGGTTCTCATTAAGGTATAGAATCACGCAACACCAAATCCATGTATTCAACACGCTAGCTCCTGGTCTATCGCTGGCAACGGGTGATCCCACTTTACGGCCCCCAAGAACGGCTCCGTAGCAGGGGCGTACCCCAGCACAGGGCACTGCTTTATCGCACGTGCGCCCAGAAAGTTGATCAGAAATCCTTCAACGACCTCCCACGACAGGATGTACCGCGATGCAAGGAAGTACAGCGTGTTGGCCCACGCATGCAATCGCGTTGTCCTCGCTGACTGTCCCGCATCTGAACGAACTGGCCCGGCGCGTTCTTCTTTATATCCGTCGAATATTTGACCGAGCGTGGCAGCGTCTAACGATCCGCCCGCTGCGCTCTGCAGCGCCTTGTGCAACCCGTTGCACAGCACCACCACGTCCTTGATACCGTTATTGAACCCTAGTCCAGCGTTGGGGGTGTATTTGTGACATGCGTCTCCTGCGAGAACGATCCGTCCCCACCCCCAGTGCTGGAGAATGCCTTCCTCCAGATTGGCCATGCCCGAGGTGAACCGCTCCGTGTACACGTCTTTCACCTTCAGAGTATCAGTGATAGGAAAATCGGCAAACCGTGCCGCCATTGCTTCGATATCTTCCGTCGTGTAGTCTACTCGATCGGAAGTTGGCTGTGGCAAGCGCTCGTAAAGGAAGATCCATCCACGATAGCGCCCGGAGAGGTACATGACCGAATAGTCCTTGCTTTGGGTTTCAGTGGCATGCCCGGCGTCAGTCCGTCGGGGAAAGCTGCACCACAAGCATTTGTACTCGGCTTTGAAGGGTTTTACGGCGTCCCAGCTCCGCGTGGGGTCCGCGGCCAGGGCGAGTTGGCGCATCAGCTGCCGGGTTTTGCTGTGAACGCCGTCGGCTCCAAGGACCATAGATCCTTCGAATGATGTCCCATCAGTGCAGGTGACTCGAACCCCGGTGTCGCTTGACTCGATATCGCTGACCTTTTTACTGAGTAGGTAATTTGCCTTGACCTTGTCCGGAAGCAAATCGTACAGGGTCTGGATCAAGTGTGCGCGGTGGAACGCGACCGGGGCGATCCCATGACTGTTAATGTCAATATCCCGCCGATATCATCGAGCGATCCGTCAGATAGAGTGGAACGCAGTACGTACTTTTTTCGAATGATTTGGAAGGGGTTGGTATTGCGGAACACCTGTCCCTCTCGAGTGTACGCCTGGACCTGGCGAAGTTCCGCACCAATGGCTAGCAGTTGGTCAAGCAGACCTAGCTGGTGCATAATTCGCAGAGATGGGGCTCCAAGAACTAGACTGGCACCTTGATCGTGGAGTACCGAGTCTCGGCGTTCAAGGACGACAAAGTCGATGCCAGCGCGGGCGAGTGCATGCGCCGCAGTAAGGCCGACCGGGCCACCGCCCACGACAATAACCTTAAAAGGGGAGCTGGGCATTTTAGAGACGGAGTAAGGAGACCCATATTAGTCCTGATTCATGGGAGGAGTGGCCAGGAATGTGGGCATCTATGGAATTCATATACGGACTACCAGGATGTCGGACCGGCTGTCGTCAATTCCGGACAACTAGACATGGCTACGTAAGGTCCGTCCGCTTGGTTTGAGAAATAGCAGCCGTTGCTGGAATAGGCATATGGGGAGCAGACAATCCGCAAGTCTAGGAAGACTAACATGGCGACATATGGTGGGCCTAGGAGGTATAGGGATTCACGATTGGCCCGAGAGTCTATCAGATCATCACCGATGGGGCGGGCTTCGGATAGAATCCATCGGGTTGAATCTCCATTGGTGGAGGAGTGGATGTCAGGAGGTTGACCCATTGGCGCAATGACCGGCCGGCAATTCGGGACATGCGTACCTTTAAAATACTACGTACTACTTTCTAGCTGGTGTGGCCCCTCATCGCCATGGTCAACTTGAGCCTTCGCGCCTGTTCTGTATTGAACGCGGGCTTGAGAGGAGAACTCCAGACGGACAGCCATTCTGTAAGCTGATGGCGAGTCAAGATGTCAAATTTGGACACGAGTGAAAAGGAAAAGCGCATGAGAAGGAGCTGGTTCAGGTACCTAGACTAGACTAGTAGCGAAGAAAGTCAGGGTTTAGAACGGGTCCGGGCCGCGAATGCTGGATTCTGTGCTTCTGCAAAGCCCGAAGCCCGCTGACTGATAGGACATAGCACAACTAACATTTGTCTAACTAACCGATTCCAGGCAATTGGGAGTCGGTGGTGGTGATGATGATGATTGGTGCAGTGGGGATGGACGGGAAACGGTCGTCTGTCAATTCAAAACTCGACTTTTGTGCAAAGAACATGAAGTATAAACAGGTCGGGGTACTAGTCGGATGATCCAGCATCCGTGGTCTAACTCAAAGTGGTTAGTTCAAGTAACTATTTGAATGTAAATGTACTGCCGTGTTCCGCTTAGTCATGACTCGAGGCCTGAACTGTCAGGCACTACTAGGATTGCTATGCAATGGAGAGATCTCACCAGAAGCAGAGATATCCTCAACAACAAAGACAGCCATACAAATATCCCTATCAGATCAAAATACTCACTAACTGTAACATGAAGGAGGCTGCCAACAGTCGCTTTCGGGGCACATCAAAACATGCAGCCTACCATTATCACGGAGTATGGCACCTTCCACATCCTATCTCAGAAGAGAGTGTGCTCCTGCTTCATTTCCATAAGGAAAAAATGGACCTAAATAACACTTTTCCCTACTACAGCACGCCGTGAAGCTCTGGTATGTCGAAATGCCTATTCTTCCCTCCCATGCCATCTCTCCCCTCCTCAATCCCCACCCAGAATGTCAATCGACATCAACTACAATGACCCCTTACCAGGAAATAACATCGATAACTTGATTGACCAGACCCTTTACTCCAAAGGCATACAGACCACCCTTCATCACGATACACCCTTGGTATCCTACTCCTCACCATTGTCCTGCCTCATACTGAACTCTACCCTATCACCATAAGCTGACATAGCGACGCAGATGAAGGTGTACGGCATCAAATTCGACTTCACTCACCCAGAGGCCGATCGGGACTACATCGACAGCCCATATCAGTCACTCTTCATAGCTGCAAAAGCAGCGTTGGCACTTGCTAATACGGATGCCTTCACTCGAGTATTCTCCCTATGTGGAATCCATGAGGAACATTGCAAAGGCCCGTTTCCCCCAATCGAAAAGGTCATGTTGGAGAATCGCTCATCGGTCTACCATTTTCATGCCCATGGGAACCTCTCCCAGCGATTAGTTATTGTTCCGGAGATACTCTTGGACGGAGTGTTTGCAGAATCAAATGGCGTTGATACACAGAGACAGCAGAGTCTTGAATGACCGGTAGGACTAGTCATGGCTTATCCTAGATTTATTCTCCCGTTGCTGGACTTTATGAAGGAACTGATGAAAATACCTTTTCCTTCTTGATTGTGATACTTAGAGCAACCACAGCCTGTCAGAAGGTTCTTCCTCTTGCTGTCCCTCTCACATACCGTCAAAGGCTTGTGAGACGGTTACTGGGAGATACCATGAGCCAGCTCGATGGTCTAAAGCAGCACACTTATTACCCCGGCTCTTGAGTTGGTCTCTCCGCAGTTTAAATCGCTAGTGTAAAATTACCCATATTGTATTATTTACATCAACACGATATTCACTAAACTGCGCTATGTAATAGGTATCGAACAAGTGCCCACCGGAATCTGCAGAGGATCCTGTTCCCCTGCCGACATATGATTAATTATACTTGTAGATGGTATCGTGCAAAAGAAAAGCAGCTCATTAGTCATGTCTCATAAGGCCACCATCCGCTGCCCATGCTTAGTCCATCTCCTCCAACGCCGCCTTAACCAGCCCGCGCTTCTCCACCCGCTGATAGTACTGGCCTAGGTTTGGGTAGCGCTTGTCCGAGAGTAGTGTTGTCGACCGCGCAATTTCCCTCAGAACGGGCCACAGCGCGCAGTCATCAATGCTGAACCCAGCGCCGCCCAGGTAGGTCTGCCCGGTCAGGGCCTGTTCCCACCGCGTCAAATCGAACTCGCCAGATCCCTGGCGTTGTGAGTCGCGCCAACCGGCCAGAAGATCGTCGATAGCTGCCAGATGACTTCCCCCGCGTAGGGCATCAAGCTCTGATCGCACGAGCTCTGCGGCGTGCTGCGCAAAGTGGGTCAAGATGGTGACGTCACCAGCTATTTGGGTTCCGTCAGCGGCAACATAAAGTGGCCGCACGTCGTTTTCTGGGGTGCGCGCAGACATTGATTCGGTTTCGTAGCGGATTCCATTCTCGCTCAGGCACAACCGCACCCGCAGATTAGCCACGGCATCCGGCCCAAGGATGAGCTTAGTTGTACCCGCCGTGACAAAATTGACCACGTCGAAACCGCTTCCATACACCTGCTCCCAATCGAACTCTGTCGCGTGGTTCTCTTCTCCGAATGCCCGGATGATGCGCTCCGTCTCGCTTGCATCTCCATGAATTACTGGCTGTGCCTGCTCCTGCGACTTTGACACTGCGCCCTGGCCCCAAATGGTGTCGCCGGCTGGGTTAAGGAACGTGCCAATGTGACGGAAGGTCAGGGAAATGCGCTGCCCCTCGTATGCGCGCTCTTCCATCGACTTCTCCGCTTCCGGCCGCTTGTCCGGTCGGATACCGTGAAGCCACCGCCGGTTTGTTTCATCTCCAAGGATAAACAGGGATTCGTGGGGCATGGGAATACGTTGTGTCTGTCGGCCCGACTCTCCACCTTCTGCGGCACCCTTGGTGCGGAGAACCATGACCCGCTGAGCACCGAGACTAACATTGCAGATTGAGGAGCCTCGGACGATATCGAGAGTCTTGTCGGAATGCTCGGAAATTCGGTCTTGCCCATCCCGGTAGAGCTGAATGAGCGCATGGTTCAACGGGTGCCCGAGAATGCGCTCCACAATCGCGCGCACCTTGTTCACTGTGGCCGTGAAGGGTTGCAGTGGTGGCGACTCATCAGCCGGATGGCGATAGATAGGTATGGATCCGTCCTCTAATGCTTTGCCTTGCACCGCTACTAAACGGGGCACTTGGCCTGACAGATGATACATCTTCTGCCATGACACTTCCTCGCGGATCTTCTCGAAGGCCTCGGATGGTAGGTCGAGATCATAGATGATGCGGGAATCTCCCTCACCGATCACGTCACCCGGTCGGTATGTATCGGTTTTCTTGGACTTGCCGCTGCGTCGCTTGTCGGACCGAGACGCAGATTCTGTCTTTGTATCTGGCCGTTTTGAACGTCGCACCCGAGCACGAACCTTCTTCTCCCCCGACCCTCCGGGCGTCGCTCCACGGGATGAATCCCCATATCGAGCACGCGAGCGAGTCAGAGAAGCTAGCTCTTTCAGGTCTCCGTCCTCGTTATCGGTGAACTCCGCCAGAATGTCATCAATCCTGCGGCGTCGGCCTCCGCTCGAGCCTGATTCTGGGCTCTCCTCCTTCGTCGTGGGGGAGGCGCTAGGTCTCACCTCTAGTTCATCCAGGACATTTTCGATACCAGCGGGAGTCAGTGACTGCAATGGGCGCGGGCTCCCTTTGCGCGCAATCTCGTCTGTCTCCTCCCAGTCCAGCTCTTGAAATAATTCCTGAGTTGTAATACCATTGGCTCCGAAAATATCAGCCATACGGCGCATCGCTTCCTCATGGCGCGTAAAGCTGCGGAACCCAAGACAGTCTTCGATGAGTGTTACAGTGAAACCATGGCGCACGGCATCAAGGGCTGTGGCGTAGACAGAGGTGTTGGACAGCGACCCACAGAGATATAGTTGGGTGATGAATCTCGTGCGGAAGTACAGAATTAGGCCTTGATCCTGCAGGGCGGAGTATTCAAACTTGTCGACTAACATATCCGCCTCGTTGTCAATGGCAGCCAGTATTGGGGCCGGAAATTGTGTGCCAGTCGAATGGGGAATACAGCATCGTGGAGAGTCGGTAGAGAGGAAGGCTTCTTCATCAACGGGTCCGGCACGATCGGCGGCGGAGGGATCAGAGGGATCGAAAGCATCTTCGTCGGGAATCTGTATTCTGGTCTCTCGGTTCATGCGACCGAGCACGATGAGGTCCTGTGCGTCTGTCGGGCTGATCAAGGGCTGTCGTTCTTGGTAATAAGAACGCACCCACACCACCTCGCCATTGCGCCGAAAGGCGGTCGCGAGCTGAGGCAAGAGATCGAGAAAATCGGCGGTGTTGGAGACGTGCAACGCGCCATTCGGTCGTACAAAGTCATTCTGGAAGTCAAGCAGAAGAAGGGCCTTTCCGGTGGCGATGGCGGGTAGGTTGGTGAATTGGGCAAAGAAACTCATTGTCTGCACATGGTCATTCGTAGGCGGACAGGAGCGGGGAATTGATGCGGTGTGGACGGCAGATCGACTGAGGAGACAGTCGGGGGTGCCGAGGTCAGGGGGTGTCAGTCAAAGCACATGAGAATGAGCAAGGGAGGATGATGAAGAAGGAGGGGGATGAAAGGATGAAGAGGTAGCAGCAAGAGAAGAGCTGAGGAAGAAGTTGTGAAGCTGAAGAAGTTGGGGGGATTCGGGGATTGTTTGGCCTGTTTGCCGAGCAGCCTCAGGCAGCGGGGCCGAAACCGCAATCTCGTGACTGCTGCTCGGAACCCTTTTCCGCCGGCCGGCTTATCCCGCACTGTTCCCCGAACTCACCCTATACATTAAGGACACAATAGACGCTACTAAACAACTATCAACCCCTTAGGTAAGATCTACACACCACTATCTCCTTCCGGCTTGCTCTTGTGGCAGTACTATTGACACACGAACCCTTTCTGCCCCCGGTCTCAAGTCTTAGTAGTCCACTCCAGCCGGAACTCATGGCAGGTGGTCTTTCAGCAAATGTCATACGTCAGCATCGTTATCACACTCTTCCGCGCCATTCAGCCCCTAAAAGCCGGCCTCGGCTTATATGACTATATTGGTAGACTAACTAAGCAGCAAGTGTTACGCCATTCAAGATGGCGTTTCGTCCGGTTCTTCCACCCCCATCAGTCCAAGCACATCCTCACGACATCCACCTGGATTTGCGGTTATAAGCTTATAGAGAAAACGCATGCAGAACCATCACTTTATACTACCAAGACAAGTGCAAATGTATGAAACTCAGTTCAGGCCATCTATATGTACGAGATGGAGGCGTATGCTAGTGAATTGGGAAGATGGTCCTATCTTACCCGTGCTTATCATAACTAGCCAGATAGTGCAACCCTATCTGGAACCACCTACATCTAGCACTTCATGCTCATCGTGGGATATGCCGGAAGTACTTAACTGAATTCCGGATTTGAAAGAGCTGTGGATTCGGGGGCCTAATGAGGATCCACCTCCTATTTAATCCCTCAACTAACGAACGTCATCTATTGGAAAGTGGGATACCGATAGCTGACTGGTCACTGGAAAAATCTTATCTATCCATCCTGGCAGGGAACTTGTGCGCGGGCTTACTCTACTGTTCTGAAGAAAGTCAAAGCAAGGGGCTATGGTGGAAAATATACCCATGTTACACGACCTGGGAATGAACATGTGCTGTGTGACCACAATGATGAAATATACCAATTCATGATGAGAGCTATACTTCATTAGAGGGGTGAGGGGTGCAAGGCGCTACAGTAAAGAAGACTGGGATAAACTGGTAGCAGCTGAAACCTACAATCTTATGTCCATCGAAAACACAGTCAGATGGTCTAGTACGGAATTCCTGCAGTCACACGTATCCTTTTTCACGGATCTTAGCCTTAGGGCTTCAGGGTTGGCAACACAAGGTAAGGAATTCTTACACAACATTTTCCAGGAATTTGAATCCCTTCATTCTCACATCATCCGCAGCGATATTCGACTTTCGAATTGGATCTACCAGCCCTCAAGGCTTCCAGGAGTGTCACAAGGACATTAAATGCCGGCAGCTTTTCTGTTGTGCAACCAACGAAGCAAGTCGGCCCTGTCGTAGTTGTTATCTTTGTGTACCAGTGACGTAGCTGAGTTATGACTTATATGCTGAAGCCTTTCCCATTAAGTACGTCGATCTGAAAGTCTATATAAAATGGTACAGCTGAAAGTAGATCGTACCTGGCACTATTCAGCACCTTATAGGTCTGCTATGACTGTTGGCCATGAGGAGAGCATACAGGAGCTTCCAATAGAATTGACTTTAGGCCAAACTCAAAGGCCACCCGATTCAGGTTCCCGACAGGACAATCCATGAATGGTATTGACTAAGAATCACGTCAGAATGGATGTATCGACGATGCTTATCTTCGACAGAAGCGCGCGTTCTATGGCCTGCCCTTTTTGTATGTTGATCATGGCCGTATAGTGGAGATTTTAGGCCGGAAACTCCATTGCCACTGCATCTTTCTTTAGGGGGGTGGACATGAGTGATGAGATAAATACTTGGGTCCAATTTCGTTCACATTTTTTTTTTCAAACCTGCCCTATGCCATGTCAGTACATACATAGAACTTTCCAGTTTAATTCATTACTTGATTATATATAGCGCCTACCTTTCTGAAGTGTTCTGAACATATTTGTTATATTCGATTTTTTTTTTTTTTTTTGGTTAGAAAGCAACCGTGTTGATAGGAAAACCAATCATGGCCAACGACGAGTTGATCCACAAGCTTACCTGGTCACCCGCCGCACTGTCCAAAGAGCCCTTAAGCATTGCACATGTGGTGTTTGTGGTCGCGGACAAGGAGAGTGAAAGCTTATCTGCGTACCAGACGCAGCTTGTCAACGAGGGTATCACCACAGTCATTACCGATGATGCAATGGAAATTGACCCCTTGATAACCCCGGAAACGATTGTCGTCTATGTCCCACCCACGGCTAAGACTAAGGATGAGTTATACGCGGCCGCAACTCAAGCATGCACCGGATTGATCAACGTTGCACAACAGCTCTATCGTAGCATCCTTTCCGCTAAGAGCGAGACAGTTAAGCTATTCCCTATTGTTGCAAAGGACCAGGGCATAGGCGACCTCGTATACGCTCCACTGCATGGCTTGTCGCGGGTGTCGAAGACTGAAATCCCAGAGATTTTTGGCGGCCTGTTTGAGGACGACCGCGGGTTCTTTCCGTTGTCCGCAGTGAAGTACGTACAGGGCTTCGATGTGGTTAGAGTCTGCGAAGGCGAAGCACGGGTCGCTTATCTTCAACCCTTTATGGATGAGCCCAGTGATAAGAAGGGACTTCAGCTACATGCAAACAGCTCGTACCTGATCACCGGAGGCACCGGAGGTATAGGCCTGGCAACAGCAACTTGGCTGGCGCAGCGAGGCGCCCGGAACATAGTACTTGTGTCCCGCCGTGGCCTTCCACCAAGCAGTGACAGCAAGCCAGCTGAGGCAAATAGCGCGGACCCAATCTCGCGTATTGCCAAGCTCAAGGCTGTGGGCGTTTCGGTACATGTGCTGGCTGATGATATCAGCAAGCCCAACGCTGATGTGACACTAAGCCAAGCCATCAACGACTTGGGTATTCCACCGATAAAGGGAGTCATTCACGCAGCCGGTACCGCGGGTTACCATACGCTGACGCGATGCACTCCTGCTGATATTGCGGACAACTTAGCGCCGAAAGTGATCGGCAGCTTGAATCTAGACTCACTCTTCCCACCCAGGACTCTGGACTTCTTCGTATTCACTTCTTCAGTTAGACAGCTTGTCGGATTTCAAGGACAGTTGGCATACGCACCCTCCAATGCCTTCCTGGACGCACTGGCAGCCCACCGAAGGCGCCATGGTGATAACAGCATGGCTATCTTATGGACTGGCTGGCAGGGAACAGGCGTCTGGAATCAGAGCAAGGCAGCAATGCGAAGGCTCAACAAGGCCTCTACTTCGAAGGGAATAGCAGACATCAGTCCGGACGGGGCATTTGCGGCGTGGGACCACATAGCCAGCCTTAAGACTGACCACGCAGTGGTGGTGCGCGTTTTGGAACTCGATGATGATGAGCCCGTACGACATCCTATACTTAAAGACGTCACACCTCGAAAACAAGCACATCAACTCACCACTATGAATTACAAGGATTACCCTAAGCATGCAATTGCGGTGATAGGCATGGCTTGTCGTACAGCTGCTGGGAACACTGAGAATGATCTTTGGCAGGCCATCCTGGAGGGCAAGAGTATAGTGCATGAGGTAGACGAGAAGCGATTCCCCGGTGTGGTCCGCGATGGCAAGATGTGGGGAAGCTTTATGTCTGATATTGACTCATTCGATCATCAATTTTTCCAAAGATCCAAGCGGGAAGCCGCTGCTTCAGACCCGCACCAGCGAGTGCTCTTGAAACTGCGTACCACGCACTCGAATCGGCGGGTTACTTTGGACCGGGCCAGCAACAGGGAGAAACTCACGACCCAGATAGCCACACAACTGGCTGCTTCATCGGAATGAGCGCTCCTGACCACATCTTACATTTGGCGAGCAATCCCCACCCACCTTACACGGGACTGGGCATGATGCGATCATTCGTGGCTGGCCGATTGAGCCATTACTTTGGCTGGACGGGCCCCTCACACACTATTGATACAGCTTGCTCGTCGGCTATGGTTGCCATTCACCAAGCCTGCCGTGCTATTCAGGTTGGTGAGTGCACGCGGGCCGTCGCGGGTGGTGTTCATCTACTTTTGAACATGGAAAGCTCTGACGCACTGCGTGCCAGCGGGTTCACCAACGAAACCGGGACCTGCAAAGCGTTCGACTCGCGGGCTGATGGGTATTGTCGTGGGGAGGGCGTTGGCGTTGTCATATCGAAGCCTTTGGCACGGGCCTTACAAGATGGGGACAACATCCAAGGTGTGCTACTAGCCACCGGTAACAACCAAAACATCAACAGCACCAGCATCACCAACCCTGTTTTGGCGAGCCAGGTGGCGTTATACAAAGATGTGCTGGGACGCGCTGGAGTCAAGCCAGCAGATGTCTCCTATGTCGAGACTCACGGAACGGGCACGCGCGCCGGCGATCCTGTCGAAATCCAGGGTATTCGAGAGGTATTCGGTGGGAAGGATAGACCATCAATCTTGACTATTGGTGCGGTCAAGGCCAACGTGAGCCATGCTGAAGGAGCTTCGGGCGTGGTATCTTTGATCAAGGTGCTGCTCATGATGAAACACGGCAAGATACCGGGGCAGGCTGAGCTACATGCATTGAACCCAAATATTCCGGCCCTTGAGCCTGATTGAATAGCTATACCGACGTCTCCGCGCGAATGGCGCGATGGTATGCGCCTGGCCGTGGTCAACAATTACGGTGCTTCGGGCAATAATGCTAGCGCTGTCGTTGCGCCGCCGCCTCTTCAGCAATCTTCGGCATCGCCAACGCTCCCATCCGCTTCTACCTGGCCTGTTTTTATTTCCGCCGCTTCACGTGCTAGCCTATTGGAGTACTGCAATACATTGAGTCGCAAGATTATCGAAGAATCACCTGCTCCTGAGTTGTTTCCTCACCTGTCTTTTGCTTTGGCGACGAGACAGAACCGTCAGCTTCGGCATCTCTTCTGTACATCAGCGACTTCATGTAAGATACTTACAGATCCTTTTTCTCAATGCTTCTAGAAGTGAACAGCTGACATCCTGTACTAAACGCAGTGAGCAATATACAATCCCAGCTTTCCGACCCAGAGAAGAATATTGTCCCCTCACCACAACCAAAGCCAGTCGTGCTCCTTTTCAGTGGACAGAACGGCGATACCGTGCCTTCAGTTGGACCGCTATATGAGAGCAGTCTGTTATTTCGAACTCATCTGCACCGGTGCGAGGATGTGATGCAGTCGCTTGGGCTCCCAAGTCTTTTCCCAGTTATCCTTCAGGCAATCCAAGGCGGGGCTGATCTCATCCTCCGGCACATTAGCATGTTCGCCATTCAGTACTCGTGTGGAATGTCGTGGGTTGACTCTGGAGTAAAGCCCCAGGCTCTTTGCGGACACTCCTTGGGCGAGTGGGCTGCACTCGTGATTTCAGGCGCCATAATACTCGAATCAGGCATAAAGATTGTATCTGGGTACGTTTTCCTCGCTGTCTTCGCATCCGCAGTCCCTATGCTGAACAACATCTCTCGGTTAATGGCTTTTACTAACATATCTCTATATCAGTAAGCACAAACCTACTCGACGATTTATACCTAAACTTCGATTACAGGAGACTTTTAACAGCTCATAGGCCGAGCAGCTCTTATCAAGGAGCTTTGGAGCGATGACCCCGGATCGATGGTAGCAATCGAAGCTAATTTGGTCGGTACTAACACAACCCCAGAAAGACACTTAGAGCCATTTTACAAGATTCATCCAGGCATAAAGCTGGATATAGCGTGTGATAAATGGTCCTAACAACTATGCGGCGAAAAGATCCGTTTCAAAGTCTTGAGAGGCATGCATGCGTACCATTCCAGCATGGCAGACATAATCGTGGATGAGTGCGCCAAGCTGTCGGCTTCGATACAATTTCAGGTAAGTTTATGAGACAGTCCCTGGTTGCACCATTCACTAGACCAATAACCCTGGGCAGGAGCCAATATTACCCTTTGAATCCTGCCACGAAACCGCTTGGACGGGTCCTGGACCTAACGTGGTCGCCCGCAACACCCGTCAGCCTGTATATTTTGGCCAAGCGATGTCACGCATAGTCGACCGTCTGGGGGCGTGCACATTCCTGGAAGCCGGCGTAAATGGCCCCATAGTCGCGATGGCACGGAGCGCGTTGCCACAGGCCCCAGCTCAAGGGAATCACACCTTCCTGGGCATCAGTGGGAGGGACCTGGTGCGATCACTGGCCAATGCCACGGTCACGCTGTGGAAGACCGGGCAGACAAACGTGCAATATTGGCTTTTCCACCAACCCAATGTCAGCGGACGAGCTACCGGCCTGTGGCCCTGCCACCCTATCATTTTGAAAAGCACAGGCACTGGCTGGATTACCACGGTCTGTCTGATGACAGAGATAAGAAGACTGGAGAGAACGGGCCAGAACATCCAGCTGTTTGTCCTCATTGTCAGAGAGACACCGCTGATCGTCCGTTTATCAAGCAAGACAAGTCTCACACCCAGAAGGCGGGCGAGTCGGTTTTCACTATCGACATGCACAGTAGGCGCTATCAAGATCTCGTCAAGGGTCACGTCGTGGTCGGGACCGCGATATGTCCACAGCCTCAGTGTATCTGGAGCTGGCTGCGCATTCTGTTGCCTTATTGCTGAACAATAAGATAACGTCCAGCATAGTGGTAGACGACATACATTTCAAGGCCCCCTTGAGTTTGGATACGCAGCGTTCCGTGAAGCTGACACTGACAAACAAGCAACGGTACACGTGGGGGTTTGAATTCATCTCCAACAAGGATGAAAAGTCAATATTGCACGCTATTGGCAACATCTCACTCAGAGACAACAGCAGTGGAAAGGCTGAGGAAGAACAAGAAATGAAAGACAAGTGGACCCGCATGATTAACCTACTCGATAATGATCCCGACACGGACGCTTTGCGCGGTGCAATGGTATATAAAGTGTTCGGTAATATGGTGAAGCACGCAGCTGCATACCGCGGCTTGCGGCATTTGGTTGGAAAAGGCACCGAAGGCGCAGCGGACATCTCCATACCGGTGAAGGAACTCAATACTGTGGCTAGAACACCCAACGATAATGTTGTTTATGCTCTTGTGATGAACAACTTCCTCGAAGTCCCGGGTGCATATATTAACTGCTTAAACGTCTTTGGTGACGAGGATGACAGCAAGGCTTATATTTGTACGAGCTTGGGGTCTGTGGGCCCTCTTAACAAGCTCTCAGACGGCAGATATTACAGGGTATATGCGCAGATCGTCCGGCAGAGCTCCAATGAGGCTATATTAGTTGTATTGGCCTTTGATTCACAGACTATGGAATTAGTCTTGTCTGCCAAAGACATCAAATTCTCAGGGATCTCCACCGGCACGTTGACCAAGTTACTGGCCGGCGCGGATCCCAATTCAACGGCCAACGGTCACACTGGCCCATCGCAAGTTGCGGAAACACCTGAATCCTGGCAACCAACGGAATCAAACCCTGTCACAAATTCTAAGATGGCCAATGGAATCAAGACAGATTCATCAGGTGTGCTCGAAATAGTACAGGGGACGCTAAGCCGGGCCCTTGATGTTCCTGTCGCAGAAGTGACCAAGGGTGCCTCGCTCGAGGAGCTCGGTGTCGACTCGCTAATCAGCTCAGAGATATTGGCTAGTATCCATGACTCTCTTCAAGTCAGTATTTCTGTCGATGATTTTGCTGCAGCTACCGACGTTGCCTCCCTATGTGAGTTGATCTCTGCCCGGGTAGGCAGCCACGCGACCAATACGGGAGGCCAGGACGATGAAGTTCTTCTGGGGCCAGAACATGTCTCAGAGACTGATAAAGATGAGAATTCTGACTGGCAAAAGACCGCTATCGAGATACTTGGTCGGTCTCTCGACGTACCGGTGGCAGACATTCAGATGGATTCTCAGCTTGAGGAGCTCGGCGCCGATTCGCTCATTGCGGCGGAGATAGCCAGCAACATCAATGATGCACTGAATCTGACTATCTCGTCGACCGACTTTGCTTCTTTGACAAATGTGAGATCGTTGTGTGACCTCATTACGCATGTTTCGGGGCGCGTGCCAACGCAGGCCACTGCTGCATCTCCATCAGGAAATACCACTTCAGAGATGAGTAACGGGGTAGCTTCAAACGGCCATCCAACCACTCAATATGAGGACAATAGCCAGATATACGCGAAGGATAATGCAGAGCTAATCCATGAAGTTTTCCAGAAATTTCGCCGCGGCTTTGATTCTCATGCAAAAGAGGTCAAACTGGCAGGCTTCTGGGACAATGTATACCCAAGGCAATTAAGCGTTGTGACAGCCTACATCCTCGAAGCGTTCGAGAGACTCGGATGCCCTCTCAAAATTTTCAGTCAAGGAGAAACGCTCCCTCCACTACACAGCACGCTGCATAAGTACCAAAGAGAGGTATCGCGGCTATGGGAGATCCTGGAAGAAGCTGGCCTCGTCGAGATGCACGGTGGTACTTTTATACGGGGTTCTGCACCTCACGTACAAGATAAATCAGCCAATGATCTGAACACTGATCTCTTATTGAACTATCCTCAGTACACATCAGCACTTGGTTTGCTTGATCTTCTCGGACCGCAACTGGCTGAGTGCCTCACCGGAAAGGCCGAGGCTACCTCTATCCTATACGATAGCGACAAGGGCAGGAAGCTTCTTGAGAGCTTCTATGCCAACGATCCTGGTCTTCTTGCGGCCAACCGGGTGCTTGGCGATTTTTTCTCCACGATTATGAAGGCTAGAACATCCGACGAACCCTTCCGCGTGCTCGAAATTGGCACCGGGCTTGGCAGCTCCGCCAGGCATCTCCTCTCACAGCTTCAATCCTGCGGCGTGCCTTTTACGTACACATTGTCTGATTCTTCTGTGGCACTGCTGAGGCGTTCCAAAGCGAGACTACAGGACATCGAAGGATTGGAGTTCCGCCAATATGACATCGGGGAAGACCCTCCCGTGGACCTGCTGGGACGCTACCACGCCGTGATATCTAACAGCTATGTCCATGCGACGCGCAACCTGCAGAACAGCCTCGCCAACATCCGCAAGTTGGTGCGGCCCAACGATGGATGTGTGGCGCTGATAGAGCCAACACAAAGACTAGCCTGGTATGACCTCGTTTGGGGCTTGCTCGATGGGTGGTGGCAGTTCGAGGATGACCGCACACACGCACTGCAAAGCCCGTGGGCATGGAGAAGTGCCCTGCAGAACGCCGGGTTTGCACACGTTGACTGGTCTGAGAGCTCCAGTCGTGAGTCTCGTACTGTTCGGGTGATCTGCGGGATGACAGCTGAACCGGAGAGGCGATGTCCGGCCGAGGCAACGTCTATGCTCTTGCACCGGGGGACTTCTGCGTCTGGAAAACGAAATCTGTTCCTGGCCCCGGACGGTTTTGGTTCTGGAGCCGTGTTCGGGCAGTCTGGGACCATTGCTCGGCAGCGTTAAAGACATTTCTGTCTACGCGCTCAATAGTCCCTTCATGCATAGTAAGCCTGACCTGGATAAGCCGCTAACCATTGAGGAACTCGCTGCCATCTACGTGGGCGAAATCAAGCGCCGACAGCCTGAGGGCCCATATCTGTTGGGCGGATATTCTGTCGGTGGCGTGTTAGCCTTTGAGGCGGCACGACAACTTCTCGAAGACGGCAACTACGTCGGGAAATTATTTCTGATCGACACTGCATGTCCGACATTCATCCGTTACTTCCCCAACGCCCTGGTCATGTTCCTAGATTCCATCGAGCAAGTGCGCGTGAGGAATGGCAGTGAGTTCCGACCAAACCGCCAAGGCAGATTGGTGGCGAACGATCACTTCTTCTTGGCCCGGCAGCAGATGCGAGCATATCAGGTGCGCAGGCTACCTGGACGGAAGATGCCGCAGGTAGTGCTGATCTCTGCGAAAGAGGGTGCGGACAAGCAGGAAGGAGTGCCTCGCCCGGCATTTCTGCCGGAAGACGAGAAGGCCGTGGACTGGTTTCTGAATGATCGTACCGACAACGGATATTTTGGTTGGAACGAGGTTCTGGACGATATCAAGGTGGTTCGGGCCGACGGTAACCATTTCACCATGATGTTGCCCTCAATGGTAGGTTCAACTCGAGCATTTCCATTATCATAGTAATGGCTGACACGGAAGCACAGATCAGTGGATGGGGCGCGGAACTCGCTAGCATGTTGGAGGAATAGGTACTGCCAGTCGTCAATCTTTGTTAGACGTGCACTGTGTATGGTTCGAGAAGGAATTTAGTCGCGTCAGACAGCCCAGACACTGCCTAATGTCAGGACAGTGCCATAAAGATGTATTTGGTGTGCTCTTAAGATAGCAATATAGATGAATCGAGACTATGCAGCACCCTGCCAAACTGGTGTTGCCGATAGGGAGCCACCAGGAAGCGGAACACTCATATTAACCTTTTATGACATTCTCCTTATCAATGTAGTTGATATATAAGCTAGCACATACGACCACAGGGTGTGGAAAACAGGGCTTCCCGTCCGCTCAGCCGTACTTAAGCCACACGCCGGGAGGTTAGTAGTTGGGTGGGTGACCACCAGCGAATCCCTTCTGTTGTATGTTTTTTTTGTTTTAGATTTATGCTAATTTCTCACTCCATGATGCGTGGAAACCGGTTGCTTTACCGATTGATGGGGTCAGGGGGCGATGAACAATGGTCATGTGTGGAACTCGGGCTCTTACAACCCTGGGGTTTACTCGTGACCCTCCAAAACCAGCGTTCTCCTGTATCAACTAGAGCATAGCTAAGGACGTACAAAAATCAACGAGATTGAAATGAGAATTCCTTTACTGGGTCTCAGCATCTTCGCAGACGTGTTGTCGGCCACGGCGATTGGTGGGGGGTCTTCACATTCACGAAATACCATCTAAGACCCTTATGACTACCATAGCATTCCGCAGTGTATATGCTTACCAGTGGAGGAGGTTACAGTTTTGAATCTCCACCATGAAATTTACGTAGAACACTTTTAGTTTCAAGAAGACAATATGTCCCCTACCTAGCGCTCCCACCTACAACACCTTAAACACGCATGTCATTATCATCAAAGAACATTACGTAGCATCCATGGCATCTTCCTTTGGATTGGTTCGATTCATATCCGTTGTCCGATACCCTGCTTGCTGCACCATCCCGACCCATATGGCCACCATACCTGAGGTGGTGAACGAGTCTGATGTAAACTGCAGTGGGTGTTGCGGTGTTGCCTTGATCTGAACAACAAGGTCTCCTCATGACCGGCGGGTACATCGAAGCCGCACTGGCGACTCCGGATGGGCTGCAGTATGTATCCGGTCCATGGACGGCGCAGGAGCCTGATTAATAGGACTGCCATGCTCATCGCATAGAGTAATATCGAACCTAGTGAGAAAGCTCGCTACTACTATCGTCGCTTCAATATTCACATGCTGGAAACGGTTAACCCTCGCCTTTGTTATCACTAATGGGAACTCTTACTCTTCGACCGACTTTGCATGTATAGGGTCAAGGTTCGTGTTAGTATCCATTGTTGCGAACAAGTGAAGGTCACTCACGGCATTTCCGACGCCCTGCGCCAAAACCAGCAAAGGCATGGGCTTCTTTCGCGTACTCTGCACGATCCGACAGAAAGCGTCCAGGATCCCACCGATCCGGATTGGGGTAGACGTCTGGGTCACGGCTCGTTTCTTGTAACTCGTATGTCTGGGTCGATTGTCAGGGGGGCTTGAAAGAGTTTGCCGAGCGGTCCAAACTTACCACATATGCCCCTGGTGGTATTATCTCGCCTGTGTCTCCGATCTGGACATCAGTTGTGCTGATGTTCTTACGGAACTCCACCAATAGAAGCGATAGTCGAACGCTCTCTAGGAGACAGGCGTGGAGAACGGGAAACTCGTGTTCCCAGGTTTGCAGATCCAGGGATCGGAGGACTTGCTCCACGCCCTCACCATCTTTGCGGTGTCTGAGGATTACCTGGTCCACTTCCCCACGGGCTCGAGCCATCCAATATGCATTGGTAGCAAGCCCTGTCAGTATCCATGAAACTACCGTGGGAGAATTCCCCTGGCTCGCAAATACAGTAGACATCAAAGCCTAGTGAAACCAAAATTAGCCTTCTTGCGAGAGGATAGTCTTCTGATGTTCTCTTCTTACTTGTACTATTGCTATCGTCCTCCGACCTCTCTCGAACATATCATGAAGCATGTCTTCCCCTCCAGGATGTAGCTTGTTGTGTTGTTGCTGCTTCTGTTTATGGATGATGCGCCATGTAATGACATACAGCCGCCCGGCGGCGATCATCGCGGGAATGTGTAATGGGTTAAGCAGCGGCGGAACCAGAAGGTCGATGGCCGGAAAGGTTTGCGCTGTTATACTAATGAGGTCACTCACCTTCCTTGACAGCTCCGGGAAGTGCACCACTTCATCAAGTCCCAGTGCGGCCATGGTGGTCTGCGCGAACAACCACTTAAGTTCCTGAAAAGGATTAATCAGACCTCTTGCCGCAATGCGGTCTAAGGCCGCGGTAGTGCACGCTCCTATGACTTGGGGCGTGGAGTTCAAGGCCTGACTGCGCATCAGGGCCCTACGCAATGTGGATCTGAGACATGATGTATGGGTATCACTGGATGGATTGTCAATCTGCCTAACGATTCCGGCAAAAGGCAAAAGCAGGAGAATGCTGGGGTTGTCTCTCAAAGTTAGCGAGCTGCTCGAAGTTGTCGGGACGGGAGAGAGGGGTGATGAGCGAACCCTTCGTCCATATCAAGATCCCGGCTCTCGAAAAAGGTCTTGCGACCCTGAGGGCCCGACAGGCCCACGATGCGGTGTTGGCCCAGATAATAGCTATAGTTTCCCCTGGCGGAAGCTGCCTTATTATCATGACAAAATCCTGCCCGATTGAAGAAGAATTGAAAGGCACCCACTACCGGGTATCCCGGGACAAGCCTAGGGGCGTTGGTGGGAAAGGGGGTCTTCCAGAGTAGCTTTAACAAACGTATAAGGCCAGCGAAGATAAATAAATAAAACGCCTGGATGGGGAGGTGGATTGATAGTAGACTAAACATGTTTTCGATGCTTTGTTGAAGTCAATCACAATTTACCTGCTTGCGAAGTCTGCCATATCCACCTCTTTATATAGAAATCTCTTTGAGGTAAAGACAGAGAAGATGTTTCATTAATAGATGTGAAAGATGACCTTGTGTATCGGAAGACTACATTTGTATTGCATCCATTATTGAAGTATACATGGAACCGGCGATGGGCGGTGAGTTGATCAGCCTGACAGATCGATCGCTGCATGCACCTGATGCCGATGAGCGGCAATCAGAACGCAATGGCAAGCATATGAAATAAATTACAGTAGGCTAATCAGGACGGAGAAACATCACACGGAAATCCCTCGAGTCGTCACCGGACAACTTCGTGCTTGTCAATTTCCGCCGCCCCAGTTAGATTTCGGATCTTATGTGCAGCTACACCGCTTCATACCCCACATATATATTGAAGCACTTAAGCATTAAATTTGCAGCGGAGGAAAAAAGAGATGATCTTTATTGCAGATAAGTGTGTTGTCTTGTCAATTGCAAGCCAGAACGAGTAGGTGAATGACATTCTACTCGTAATTAAACGGCCTTTTCCCCTCCCGTGCTGGCCAAATTTGTAATTGCTGGCCTGAGCATGTAGCTACATGCCATAGCGAGCTTTGGCAATTGTGGCTCGAATTATATGACCGGTCGCACCTGTTTATCACCTTATAATAACTAATACCCCCCATCCTCAACTTCATGTTGACATTCGCCATCCTACATCATGGCAAGCAAGTACACATTGAAACTGAAGAACTGTTTAGGTGAGGGGAACAATGATGGGACACGTCAATCATATACCAAACGGACCGACACCGAGGGATGGCATCTGATCGTGACCCAAGATTCGGGACGTCTGAGATGGGTTTACGTGAAAGACAGGGAGAAGCGCAAGGCTCGACCCCAGGATGCTACGAGCAGGTTTTTCTTGAATATCCCGATGGTATGTTGAAGGTAGCCCTAATACTATGATACTCGTGAATCTGAGCTGAACAATCTATATCTAGGGCCACCAAAGCTCCCCGCGCCCTGCCAACACGGTCTCTGAGGCCATCTACAAGGGTGTCAAGTTTCACACTAACACGCAGGTCCGTGATCTGGGCTGTTGGGCAGCTGACTTGAGCTGTATCTTCTTTGTGACTCCAATGCTGGTCATGACATGGTACATCACAGGTGCTCGAATCGATGAGGCTTACGTCATTGAATTGATTCGCTTCATGTTCAACTGTCAAAACCCAGATAACGGTGGCTGGGCGACATATTTGGAGGAGGACCCTTCGCCGATGGGGACTACATTGGTTTATATTGCACTACGACTCATGGGGGTCCCACCTGACAATGAGCGTCTCCGGAAAGCGCGCGAATTCTATCTCAGCCACGGGGGAGCGCTCTACCTGCCGGCCTGGGCCAAGTTCTGGCTTGCTCTACTGGGGCTGTATGACTGGGCGGGTACTGACCCATACCCTGTTGAGATGTGGTGAGTTCTTTGTTGCTCAAACTTCTTTCGGGGCTGATTGTATGACTATACTGACTGAATGCCAGGCTCCTACCCAAGTGGTTTCCACTCAGCCCATGGAATTGGTTTGTGATTCCACGCCAAGTCTACCTGCCAATGTGTTACCTCTCATCTCGACGATTCACGTTGCCAACCAATGATCTCTTAGATGAGATTCGGGCGGAGCTGTTTCCACAAGAATTCTCTGCTGTTAATTTCGCCGCATACGAAGGACTGGTGCGACCGTCTAAGCGGCATCAAGCAAAGAGTTGGATACTGCACATCTTGAATTGGATCCTTACTCATGTGTGGAATCCATGGCTCTGCCCCAGCTTTCTGAAGAAAAAGGCAGAAGAACGAGCGTGGGACATCGTGCTCAATATGGATAAAGCGAGCAACTCGACCGGAATCATCAGTATGGACGCCTGGCTGAATATGATCGCTGTCTATTGTGGCGAGGGGCCTAACTCGCCCACTCTAAAAAACATGCAGGAAACAAGTCTAGAGTATCTCTGGATGGGTTCGTCGGGAATGCAGTCTATGAGTATCCATGGGGGACACGCGTGGGACACATCGTTGGCACTGCAGACGCTGGTGTACACAGGTCTCGCCGAACACAAAGATTTCCAAACTAACACGCAGCGAGCTTACGAGTATCTCATACAGCAGCAGCTCGTGAATGACTGGGATGATGCTAGTATCTGTCATCGTCCTAGCCGTCTCGGGGCCTGGTCCTTTACGACCCGTTACCATGGCAGCCCCTGTTCCGATTGCACAGCTGAGTCTTTGAAAGCCATCTTGATGGTCGAGATGAAACTGGGTTCACGACAAATGAAGGAAGCAAACCTCCGATTAGCGGTGGATAATCTCCTAATGATACAGAATCACAGCGGGGGCTATAGCAGCTTTGAACCTATCGCCGCAGGTAATTGGCTGGAGTACTTCAATGGGACCGAAATGTTTGGACAGGTGATGACAGAACATGATTATGTCGAGTGCACGTCCTCTTGTGTCACAGCACTTGCTCTTTTCAGGGCTCGGAGCAGCGAATATCGGCGCAATGAGGTCGATCGAGCCATTGAGCGGGGTGTGAAATTCGTGGAGACAAGCCAGCGCGATGACGGAAGCTGGATGGCCTCTTGGGGAATCACATTCACCTATGGTGCTTTCTTTGCCATGGAAGCCTTACACCATGGAGGCCGGACATATGAGAACTCTAGCGTGGTCAGAGCAGGATGTCGCTTCTTACTAGACATGCGAGAGTCTGACGGCGGGTGGGGAGAAACACTGGAGGTAGGTACATAACCTTTCTCGTGTCATGGAGCTAACCAGTAGCGTTTAGTCTCGTATGGTCGGCGCATATGTACATGCGCCTAGATCACACACTGTACAGACTGCATGGTCGTGCCTCGCGTTGATGTATGCCGGTTATCCCGACCCGGAGCCCATAAAACGAGGAATCTATCTTATTATCAGCCGACAAAAGCCAAATGGAAAGTGGGAACAAGAATATCCCGTTGGCAGTGGAATGCTCACATGGTATGTTTGCCAGCGTTGTTTGGAAATTCAAGATCCAAACTGACCAGCTGCAGTCATATTCAATATCACAACTACATATACTCGTTTCCCATCCGCGCACTGGCGATGTATGAAAAGCTGTACGGAAACGGGCCTAACATTTGATCATCAGTACAAGATGTATTCGCTTTGGTTGGAATGATACATGATGGAATGAAGGATAAATTCCAAATATACTGTTGGGAAACTGCATAGCTCGGTTTATGTATGTGTTTTGATTCGTACAATATGCAGAACATTTAGGTGCAAAAGAACACAGAAGGATATCTTCCATCTAATGTTGTAGAGTATAACGATGACATGACGGAGTTATATGCGTAGGTAATAAACGATCTTCATTTTCCCCCTGCCCAACGAGCCATGCACATCTCCGAGACCAATACAATGCAACAGCAAAGTACCTTCCCAAACCTACCAGGATCAGGTATATATTCCTTGTAATGGGCACAATAATTGCGACCTCAACAAGGACTGCCCCGAAACTATTTCCCTGTTTCACACAGCGGTCCAAACCACGCGCCGCCTACCACCTCCTCCCAGCCCTCGTTCCCGACACATCGCCAACACCAAAACACATTTTCCGGGTCATACTTCTTCTTTACGGACAAAAGCCAGTTGTAGTTATTTCCAAACCAGTCCTGCCTCCAGTCCGGATCGTACGGATCGGCCTCGTTTAAATATGTTCCCATACCCGGAGCCATGTCCTTCATTGCTTTCAATTTCATTTGGGTGAGAGCGTTTCGGTATTGTTGAATCTCCTCGGTGCCGGCATTGTCGGGCCAGACATCGATTTGCTGGAATAAGAGGTGGGACCTTCGCCACGCGGGATTCATGGATGTATGAGGGACGGGGTCGAGAACCTTTCCACCGGCCACGATGTTGAACAAGGTTGCCCAAAGGGTGCTGTTGGGGACGGTCTGAGTAGTGACGGTCTCAAGAAGGCTTGTTAGATTGTTCTTTGGGGATTCCAATGTTTGCTTGTCAAAGAGTCGTGACGCCATGATCGGCCTGTTCGAACCCGGTGTTGTATGGTGCGTGCCGGAGTAGTATGCATGGAAGGTCGGATAGGTGGTGAAGGTGGATAGAACCAGATACGAGGTTCCGTTGTGCTGGAGCAGGTCATCTAGGATAAGCCGTTTCATGGCGTCTTTGGCGCTCTCTAATGCCTCGGTGGAATTGTTCTCAAGCAGATTCAGGAAAGGCTGGGTATATACCAGCGGTCCGGCATAGGGTGTGAGGATTGCAGTGCCAGAGTATCCTGCGTCTGAGAGAGCTGGCAATTTGGACATTATGTTGCCAGTAGCGTTGATAACGGCATCGTCATTTCCGTTCAGTGAAACGATGTCCAGGTTATGGCCCAGGACAGGACGCGTTGGGTGGGCTTTGATGGTGGTCGATAAGACTACACCATAGGTGCCTCCACCACCTCCACGGAGGGCAGTGAAGAGGTCTGCATACTGACAGGCGTTGGCAGTGACAAGCTTTCCAGATGCTAAAACAACTTTGTATTCCAGAACCTGGTCTGCCCCGAGTCCAAAGAAGTGGCTAACGGGGCCATGGCCACCACCTTGCATGAAGCCTCCAAGGACACCAACAGTCTGATCTATTCATTAATACGGATGCGTATCATACTTCAGCCTCCAGGGATAGACTTACCGGATCTGCGCCACCAACAGCGATGACACCATGCGTGGCAGCAAAATCGTATACGTCCTGCCACACATATCCACCGCCTACGGTGATGGCACTTCCAGTCCAGTTGGATGGACAGGATCCATTCCCAGGAACGTATCTGTCGTGATAATGTAGTCCATCTTGTATGGACTTGATCCAAATGGAAAGGCTACCATATCCTTGCGATCTGTTATAGTTAGTGCGTATACAATCATGGAACTTTGACGCTGTGTTCTCACCGCTGCGAAATATCATGACCTGTGTTTTTTATGACCAACCTCACATTGTGATCCCTTGCAAACTTAATCCCGGCAGTAACGTCAGCTGCGGTTGTCGCCTTGACACTGTAGACGGGATAGTTGCCCAGGTCGCACTGTGGATATCCAGCCAGAGTGGCATTGACAGGGGGGCAGCTTTCCACAAGTGGATAGCTATATCCAATGGGAGATTTTGCCAGGTACTCGTTGCTTGTCCAATTGGAGCTGATAGTCTGACAGAGCTGGGAACTGTAGCCTGGGCCTTGGTAGCACGGTTTAGCAATTGGCTCGTTGCGCGTCAGCTTTCCGTGAACGGAGCTGTTTAGGGCGCTCCATGTGTCTGTAGAGGGCCAGCACTCATCTGTAGGGGCCTGTATCCTCGCGATGTAAGCTATCTCCGCATCATCTAAGAGAGAAGGAGATCAAGTGATAACATACACATTTGCATTTGGCAAATACAGACTGTGCTCCAGCCAGGAGTAGGATAGTGCTAAGAAGCATTTTGACGTGAACTTGTCTTGCTGTATTATTGTTGAATATTCACAATTCATTGTCGCCAGCAGTGTAAGGGAAATATTTTATATTCGTCACTTTTCAATGCTCAACAGGCGACACCGTAAGCAGCGCAATATATTGCGCCCATAGCCACCGAGCACGGAACGGAAGCCGACCTTGCCCTCAGAAAGTAACGGGCAGCGACGTCCAGCGACACGATCCAATATACTGTCACCTTCCATTTTGGACATGTCTTACAAGACCCCAAGAAGCCAGTTCGATGAACAACCCAGTTCTGAGCGGAGTGAACAATGTAAACATCATGACCTAGAACAAGTCGAGGCCCACATTGCGCTGAGAGGGGGATATGATTCGTCGCAGCGAGCGTATCTCCAGCTGATGCCGATCCCTCAGCCTCATGGGGGCCATGGAAACCGGCCATCTTCAACCCCTCCACGGTCGCATTGCTCCTCTATATCCTCCGACCAACTGCGATCCCGATAAATGCAAGGACAAAGAGCTCAACGACGCCCTAGGGGCAAATATGCGCGTTTAATCTGCCGGGGGTGCCGAGCTCGTAAAATCAAATGCGTGCTGGCTTGCCCACTGGCCTCATTAGGCCCACTGGGTACTCCACAACCCCCGGCAACATGTTGCGAGAGATGCCGCAATCTCGATCTCGAATGCATTGTCGAGAGCAATCCTCTAGGCCGGCCAGCAACGAAACGCGCAAATCGCGGAAATTTGGCCAGCAAATCGCCCCAGCCAGACACTTCCAATTCCCCGCGTCCAAGCCCCCAACACGAGAAAGCGGCCAAGCTCTCCGACTCCATTCAGCACTATCTCTTCTCGGGCGCGATACTAGACGACCATTCCATGCTGCAGGAATTGCCGGATGCCACGGAGTCTACATCCGATGCCGACCGTCTTTACCATGCCATGGCCAACACCAGCACCTTTATCGCGGGGGTGTTGGCTAAGGATGCTTCTTTCGGCTCCACCATTCAGCTGGTGTCTACTTGGAGCACTTCTCTGACAGATACAGTGAGCCAGGATCTCGCTGCCACGCTTGACAAGCTGTAAGATCAGGCGCAGAACTATGCTCATCCCATTAGCTGGCTAAACCCTTGCTAGATTAGTTTGGCAACGTCTCTTCGTGATTGGCACACCAAGCCTGCTACACCTGAGAGAGCGCTTGTTCTCCACCGATCCTAATACCAATAATGTGGCCACCAAGCTGCTATTTTCAGTCCTTTGCTTGGCTGCCTGTGAAAGTTCAGAAAGTGTTCGCCGTCAGAACGGATCCCTCCGAAATACTCTACTGCAGGCCGTTTCGTCATACGGCCAGGACTTCATCTTCAGTCCTCCTACACACATAGACTCCGTTGCTGTCTGTCGCTTCTTATCGGCGTTCAAGCCGACCGCCTTGGCCACGTCTAAAAGAGTTGCCAGTCAATCCATCAAAGCCGAGCTGTATCTGACTATAGCATATCGGATCGCAGAGCGGCTAGGATTGTTACCTGAGCCAGGAGCCATACCATTTCTGGATACGACTGCCACCGACAGTGTAGTAATGGAGCGTGAGCTAGTCCTATCAATCCAAGGCCTTGAAATTACAGCCGAGGAATTTCTGATGGGTGACTTTTTGACTATGACCCTGCAAGGTTTCCGACAGGTTCTTCAACGGATGCAACCTCATATAGACTCCTATCAAATGTTCCTGGAAACACACTCCTGTTCACCAGTCATTATCTTCCATGTCAAATGGATTACAGCCACATATATGCAAATTGAGGCAATGGCAAACTCTAAGCAGTCCTGGATGAGCCCCAGTCGGTTGTTCATCGTTGTCGAAGAGGGCGAAAAGAAATGCCTCGCAGAGGTTAATTCTGCCTATCATTTATTATCAGAGGCAGCCAAAGATGAACGGCAGAATGAGGTTGTTATCATATCCTCACTGCTGGAGCTGCGCTTCCATGCCGTTATTGCCAAAATTTTTGGCCTCGGGCTTTTCTATATATCGGTCTGGAAAGCAAGAATGGAAAAGGATCGACCACAAAAGGGCACTAAAATTTACCCGGATGAAGCGAGTCAGATGGGCAACACCGTCATTAATTTCATGATGACAACACCTGACTCTCAAAGCGACTCGCACTTTTTCAAGTTCTTGCGTCAATTTGGGGGAAGGTATCCAGACAAGCTGCAAGGAATTCTAGCCAAATTCATTGAGGGCGCATCAATGAAGCACGGTGGCATTGACTACATTGCGCCAGTTCGGCCAATCGTAATCGAGGTTGTTAATCTATGTAAGAATATAGTGGAAAACAACCTTATCCGGTTGAAGGGCTCCGGAAGGTTGCATCCCAACTTTGACAAACAGCTCGATCTTTTCAAGCAGTGCGCCGATGCGCTGGTTGCCATGGTGTCCCAATCAGGAAACTATCCGGAGGTTGCCTTTAGAAGCGGCTGTATGTATATCGCAAGCAGCAAAATGCTCAACGGTCTGCAGGATTTGATGTATACTCTGAAACAGCAGTCTTATACTGTCAGAAAGTATGATGAGGCTATGGGAGTGGTGGATACCCCGGTAAATACGACTGAGCCCTTCGCAATGCCAAACGTGCAGTTCAGTTCCTTTGAGGCATGGAACATGTGGCCATATCCGAATACGATGCACGGTGCCTTTCAACCGGGAGATATTCTTGATTGGGGTCAATTGTCTAGCACCATATGGCAACCAGACCCAATGACAGATCTTCCTGACAGTGCCATAAGACTGCCGGGTACGGCTGCTAGGTTCGAAAGCAGCATGCCACCGTTTCACGAATGAAATGCACATGATGCGTCAGGATAAACCGCACTATGCATACAAGCACAGTGCGCCAACTTTAGTCTGGTGGGTGAAGTTAAAGAGAGAGCCTTGTCATCTCCAATTATGGTACTATGAGTTGTAAATGGTTAAAATCATTGTATGACCAGACAGTTGATTGCACTCTATGTGGCCCTGATGCATCCTCTCATGCTTGCTGCCTTTTCTTTAATGTGAATACAGGTGTATCACTTCTTATTTAGTTATCCAATGACATCAATATTTCCTGGCTGTCATTCTATATGCATCTTAACTACTTGAATTTCGCATTAAGTTGTAGGGATTTCAACTTCTTGCCCGTTTCTCATCTTTCACAATGAGCGAACCCGTAATTATTTTTAGAACCAGCTTCAGACTAACCAATGTAGATTCATACCAAATACAGACTTCGCAACTTTTTCATCGCGCAATTATTCCCGTATCCTCATGACCCTGAGGCTGACCGCGCAACTTCGCGCAAATTAAGCATGCGGCAGCCGCCGATCGGCTCCACCATGGTCTTGGCATACTGATTTACTTGAGTGCGATAAGGCTGCACACCCCGACCAGCGGCTTATTTGCGCTCCTAGATGCGCCTGGCGGTGTTGTTCGATGACAGATCTGCTGTGTTTCTTTTGCTCGGAAAATGAAATAACGTAACGTACTGCGCCCGAGCATAGCCTCTGGCACTGTTGCTCTTTGATTTTGGCGAGGCTTTGCAGGGTGATGATGAAACTATATAATGACTGCTTGTTTGTCGTCGTCAAAACGCTTTCAATGAGCTGCTGAACTGTCGATTTTCGCCGCATTGCCAATTATATCTATTTCAGTTTGATTCAATATGTCTATCTTAAGTCGAAGTGCTGGCAGCTATGGCTGTCCTATACCGGACCATCTCGAAGAACGTGAGTAGTTGTTACATCCTTATACCACTGATGCGACGAATTAGCTGACCTCGGGACAGTCGACGTTGGTCCCTTCGTGGGGAATCTCACCTTCTATCAATTCAACATCATTGTATCCGGTGCTTGCACAGCGATTGTGTTATTTCTCATCTTGGGCCTTATGGGTCGACATGCGATGCATATGAGCAATCCTAACGAGCAACTAAAGTAAAGACATTCGACACAGTGGGGAAGTATCGAGGTTGCTGACAATATTGTGATAGAATAATGCGAATCTGCAACCTCATTCCGTCATATCAAATCCTTTCCTACATCTCAATCTGCTTTCCGAACTCCTACATCTATCTACAAGGGTTTACCGAGGTTCTACAGGGCGTGGCGTTATACGCCTTCCTGATGCTACTTTGTGATTACATGGCTCCTGATGATAAGAGCAAAGTGAAGTTTTTCTCTTCGCTCGAGACGAAAAGACAGTGGCAGCCGAAGAAGAAGAGGAATGGTCTTGCCTTTTTGAGTGTGAGTCGTTCGGCAGCAGAAAAGGCATTAATGTGAACAGTAACTGACCGCTTCTTTCCGTCTAGTTGACCTGGTACTCAGTCCTTCAATACCCTGTCATCACTTGGAGCACCGCTATTGTCCAAGTAGTGACACAGTCAATGCATGTCTACTGCCTTGAAAGCAACGCTCCTCATTTCGCTCACATTTGGGTATGTAATATGTTTCCATGTCTGACTGCGTTGTAAATAGTCACTAATAAGATCAACAGCTCCAAGTGGTCACATCAGTGTCAACGTCCATAGCCATCAATGCTATAATCCAATTCTATGTGAACATGAAGGGATACATGACAGAGCACAAGCCACTGCTGAAGCTAATGGCATTCAAACTGATCGTTGGTCTAATCTTGCTTGAGAAGGTATTCATCAGGCACCCTGAAAATGTATCCAGAAACAAGCGGATATATCTAACACCAACTAGATTCTGTTCCTCATCCTCACTAGCACAAAAGTTCTCACATACCCGCCTTCGATGACCTACATCGACACACTGATGGGCCTCCCAACAATGCTTATCTGTGTGCAGATGGTGCCGCTCTCCTTCCTAGTTCTTTATGCCTACCGCACAAAACCCTACGAGATCTCAACCTCGGTGAGCAGGCTGCGACCCCAGGCATACCAGGCTCTTGAGTCAGACCAGGACGAGGAGGTCTTACTGAACGACCCGCCCAAACGGTATCAAGGTGGAGCTTGGGGTCTACGTGCCTGGGCTATGTACTTAAACCCGCTCGTACTGTTCCAGGATGTCTATTCGGCTTATGTCATGATACATAATGCGCGGTCTCTGCAGAAGGTTCAACAGAGGGAAGAACCAGAGCAGGAGGAGATGGCAGGGTGGGAGACGAGGTATGAACCTTGTGAGAGGAGCCGATGAATGGCTTGAGAAGCCAAATTCAAAGCCCACTGCAGGTGGCGTGCATTGTGGCGGAGAGAGTGGAGGGACCCTGGCGAGATTTTACTGCGATTGACAGGTGCATTAGCTATGGAACAACAAAGACCCTTTCATAAGTTTGGATGGTACGATGACTCAGTGGTCGAGACGGTTTAGTTAGTTGTAGAATTTAGGTGAAGGATCCCTTTAAAACATTACTTGTCTAACGGTGGTTCCTCGATACTTTTGCTTTTTACTTCGTCAAGTGTCTCTATTACTTAGGCGGTATGAATGTTGCTATGAAGTGCCATGTTAGGTGTTTCCGGTGCCTTCATCTTGCATACATGGCAGTATAAACGTATCTTGACTACAAGAAGTTACACCTATCTATAATAGTTAGTGCTTGAAGAACAGGAAAACATTAGCGATGTGGATAACCCTTCTGTTATATCGAACTAGGGACACGTCAATCTCAGGAGCATACTTCAAAACGAATGACAGCAGTTGTCAAAGCTTAGATCCTCTTATTCTTCTTCCCAGGAACAGTCCTTCTCTGCACACTCTGTTCAGCGGCTCCTTCCACATATGAAGTTCTGCTACCAAAGAACATAACAAAACCAATATCAATGGTCCATCAAACATCCGGTCCGCGACACGGGTAACTCAATTACTTCAAGATCCTATATTCCTCCTTTGCATGGCAACCAATCTCCCTGTTTTATTTTGATGCTGGGGACTGGGTGGGAGGTTATCAAATTCAAAACCAACCCGGTGCTGGGTAGTTGGCGTTCTCCACGGTTGCCTCCTGTGCGGACTGGTCATCACGCTTGGTCTATAAATTTCCCAGTCAGCCCTCGTTCCTATTAAGATCGCATCCTTGTTTCCCTTTCGACAAGAAGGCATCCTGGGAATCCCCGAGGGTCATGAGTGTATAGGGCATTCTTACCGAGGCAGTCAAGGCGAGGGTCGCGGAGACCAGCATGAGAATGGTGAGAAGAAACTTCATTCTGAACGATCGGTGAAAGGAAAATGAGCACGATGAAGTGGAACGAGGAAGAGGAAAAATCACAACGTGGAGTTCAAGGGCAAGAGGAGATGTTCGAATTGATTTTGTGAAGCTAGATGTGTCTGAGGGATTTATTCCAGTTTGTTGGACACGGGCTGACTAGGTGGTTCGAGGGGGCCTTTATACTTGGACATGATATCCAGCATTGTTTGTGTATACCTCTTTGTGTAAGCGTCATACTTAGCTGGAAGATCAGCCGGATCCTTGAGGGGGGAGATCTAGGAAGCAACTTCTTGTTTCCCACGGAAACTGTTGAGGAGCGCTCTACGGAAGCAACGAAACGAACAAACGAACGAACGAACGGAAGCAAAAGAGTGAGTTGAATTAAGCTATCTAGGAGAGCGAAACAAAGCAACACGTAGAAATGCTTTGTGTGGGAGGTCTGAGTATAGTATATAACTTATTTATATAGATATCTTAACATGGTCTCCTAGGTAAAAAAATATATAAAAAAATATTAAATAAAATTATAGATATTTTCTAGATAGACAATCTTTTATATATTAAGTATTATTTTCTAGATATTATATAGCTATAATCAACAGGATTATTTCTAGAAGAATCTAAAAATTATAGAACTTTTTCTAATCTAGTACTTTGGTAAAACTGTCTACAGGATTATAAATATCTATAATATATTAAACTAATATAATATTTATTTTAATAAGATCTGTTATAAATAAGTAGCAGTTATCTAGCCATCTAGTAAACTATATATAAATATTATAATTAAGAATTTATAATAAATTAGTAATATTACTAAATAAGGATATTTTACTATTATCTGATATCTTAAGATTAAATATCTATATTAATTTTTTAATATATAAAATATTTTTAGCAGCGGTATTATATATATAATATTCTGTAATAATAAAGAAGAGTATAATAATATTTTATTTATTAAATAATTAGATAATAAAATTATCTGTATAGAATATAATTTATTTTTCTATTAATTTATTATTCTTATAATTAATATAAGTAATATTTATATAGATTTTAATCTTTTTAGTATGATCGGCTGCTAGAATAATTTTATAAAAAATAGTATTATATAAATATTTATATATATTTTTTAATATTTTTATATTTGTTGTAATGGGAGTGTGTATATATTTTTATAAATAAAATATAATAAAATATAAATTAAATCTTATTTTAGTAATTAGCCAGTTTAATCTATTTATAAGATTTTAATATTTATTAATATTAATTTTTTTAATTAATATCTTAGTACAATCTATCTTTATATAAATAAGTATTATAAGAATAATAATATTTAAGCAGAATTATATTCTAGTAATAATAAGATATTTTTTTATATAAATAAATTATCCAAGTGAGATACTGCCTATTTTATAGTTATAAAGAATATTATAATTAAATAGAATTTTTAATTTATCTAATTCTTTGAGTCTAAATATTTTATTTAAATAGTATTTTATTAAAATTAAATCTATTTACTCAGGACTAGTAATAGCAGAGTTATTTATATAAATAATAAGTTATATATTATTATTTTTATATATATATAGATTCTTTAATAGAGGTTTAAAGTTAACTTCCTGTAATTTTTTATTGAAGGTGCGGTGTTAAAGATATATTATTTATTATAATTTATAAAGTATTATTTTAAGTAGGTATATATATTCAGGGGGACTTTTATAAAATTTAATTAATTATTTTATATAAATCTATTTATTTTTTATTTATATATATAAATAGATAGAAATAATATTATATTATTTCTAATAAAGATCTTTTAGTGCTATATTAATTATAAATATTTTAAGAATAATCTTGCTTACTACTAGAGTAAAGAATTTAATATAATTAATATTAGATATTTAATAATTACTATAAATTATCCAGTGAATATAAAATTATATAATAATATTTTTTATATTAATCTTTAAATTAAATATTTACTTATCTGGAATTATACAGATACTGGTAGGTTAATTAATTATTTTATAGATATTTATTAATTTAATCTTATTAATTTATATAACTATAGTTTTTTTTTAATATAGAATAAACGGGGATAAGATGGCTTCTGTATAGATATTTAATATATTAATCTTATATTACTTAAAAATAAATAAAAAAGATAAATTAGATTTTTACTTTAATATAACTACCTGTTTATTTTCTAGTCATAAAAAACTCTTTTTTTTAATAGTTTATTAGAATTATTTTAGTATAGTGACTGTAGTAGTAGAAGATTTAGATTTAATAAATTAAAAGTCTTATTTCATATATTTAATAGATAATATTTTATAATTATAAAGATTCTTTATTAAATAAATCAGATTAGTAGGTATAGGCAGGACAGGAAAAATAGATTTAATTAATATAAATATAATCTCTATTTTTTTATATATAAAGTCAGCATTGTCATCTTATACAAGAAGAGTTTTATTATAATTAATTATATTCTGTATATTATATATAATTATTTTATTAAAATTAATCCTGGTGCTTTGTATCAGTATGATTAAACTCTTAAAAATAAATATAAATATAATAATTATATTACCAGAGTCTTTATAGTTATTCTTATATATATATTCTTTATAGAATATTATATTTTTTAAGTGTTTAACTTTATTTAAATCAGGATATTATACTAGATATATATAACTATGATTCCTATTAAATCTGATAAAATAATTAATATTAATATAAGAACTTATTTTTCTAGAGATGATACAGTTCTCTGTAGATATATATTAATAATAATAATATCTGAATATATATAGGAACTTGAGCAAGGTATTAAGATTTAAGAGATTATAAAATGACTTGTATAAATAAATAAGTATTTATTTAATCTTACTTTCTACAGGAATTAATGAAAAGGGCTAGGCCCTGTCAGCCATCCGGAATCAGAACATCTATGTTCTGACCTGTCTGGTTCTAGACCTTGACCCGGAGATATCCATAAGAAAAATAGAAATCTCTAAAGTAAGTAAAGAAATTTATCAGAGTTATAAAAAAAAACTCCCAGAAGAGTTATTTATAAAAAAGATTAATCTATCTGTAGATTAGATAGTTCTTTTTTTAATAAATTTAATTTTTTTATTAATTATTATATTTTACATAGTCCTCCCGGCTTCTTAACCTGTTATAATTTTAAATTTATTTCTTTTTAAAATATCTATTAAATAACAGACCAGTAATATATAATAATTATAATAAATTAATAAATATTTCTAGTTACTATAAAAATATTATTCAAGCTGATATTATTAACTAGTTAATTAAATATATTAAAGAATTAATGATCCAGAGTATAGAAATATAATATATTATCTTTTAATAAAATATAATAATAGATAATAAAATTAGAACTAATCTTAAATAAATTAAATAATTTATTAATATCTGACTTCTGTTTTCTCAGATATTTATTATAATATTTTTATTTATATTAATATTAATATTAGTATCAGTACCAGCCTAAGATCCAGTTAATATAAAGAAATTAAAGTTACTAATATTTATGAATTTTAATAGAAAAAATAAAAATAAGTTTTTAAATTAACTTAATAATATACAGGTAAAGATCAGGATTAACTAATAATTTATTAATATATTAACTGAATAAGTCTAGTATATATTTATATTTTTAAATAAAAAAACTAAAATAAAGATTAATCTATAGATAAAAATTAATTATAAAATCTTATTTTTCTTAGTTATAGCTTTAATTAATTATTTTAAATTAATTTATAAAAATCTAGTTTAACAGAAAAAAGTTATCAGCAAGCTATTTATTCTCAAGTAAAAAAATTAATTAATTAATAATCTTTTAGTAGAAGTTAACAGCCTGTTAATTAAAATTAAAAAATATAATTAAAAAAATTTAAATAAAAAAAATCTTCTGTACTAAGTTCAAAATAATAATATTTATTAATAAATAATAAATATT